GTTTGGAGCATGGCTTTACGAGAAGAAGACTGGCGAGATTGCCTGTACTGTTGCCCGAAAGGCGCGAGATGCTGTGGCAACATGCTGGATTGAGCAGGGTGCACTAAGGATTGGTGGTGTCTGATATTCATTGCCTCTGATTTTCATGTTGTGCGGATATTGCTTCCGCGTGATGTTCTTCATGGCGATTGTTGAGTGCCATTGATCCTTACATCGCACACTTCGCCGATGCGATTGTGATTTCACGATTTGACGTTGCCCTTTGACAGACAGATGGTCCTATGTATATTTCAGAGGACATCGCCAATGATGCCTGATTGTGTGACGGTCACGAAGAGCTAATATGGACACTGGTGGTGATAGGTTATTCTGCAAGCGTTGTGCATTGACCACTCTGGTCATTGAGAGTGAAACGATGGATCTTTGATTGGATTGACATATGCTTGGACGTATTCGCAGTTGCTTTGTCTTCGTGGTAATGGTCAGCGTTATGGTCAGCGCTTGTGAACACATTGCTTGTGATTCTTTATTTCCGTATTTTTCTATGTGCAAACCAAGTCATTGCATTCATTCGACCACAGTGAGATCAAATATCGCTGGTAGCGTCGCTGGTAGCCGCGAGCTTGGTGGAACGCCTCATTGGGCTCACAACCCAAAGTTGAAAGTTGTATAGGATTGGAATTCAAGTTTTACGTGGAGTCAGACCTTTATTGGCGACTGTATCAGTGCATGAGAGTTCTTTGGATGATGGAGTGGTTTCATTGGTTGCTTTGCTTATCTACCATTTTATTTCAGGCCGAGTTGATTGATGATATCTTCCTTGTGATTGACATACACTGGTTTCAGGAAGCCATAGATCCGACATTGCTATCTCTACATGGCCTTGCTCGGTTCTGCAAGTTGTGAGAAGGGTCATTCTTTCGGAGTGCAGATTTGAGATTGTTTCCTTGACCCTGATCTAAAGCAGCGTATTGATCGCCGTTGCAAAGCTGCGCCTGGGAATCTTCTGGATTGCATTGGATGCAACGTGGTTGGTTCTACTTGAGTGACAGCATTGTCTCAGCGTTGCTCATTGGTCAGCTGCTTCTTTTGAACCTCTTCGTACAGTATTGAGGTTTTACAAAATTAGTTTGGTTCTGTCATTGTTCTCATGCTTCAGATTTCATTGCACGAACAGTGATTGGTTTTGTTTGCAGTCTGCTAGTGACTGCTTCGTGGGATGTTTTGCATTGTTTCCGGAAGAAGACGAATGATTGCGATTGGATTGCTTTCATTGAGATCTTCGGTGCGGTGTTGGACACCGTATTGAACTTGGATCTGGAAAGTCATTGCAACTCCACCTATGTTGCAAGACCTGCCGTATTGAGCATCTTGAGTCACATTGACCTACTCATTGTGACATCAAGCCATTTCTCAGAATGCCACACGAAGTGACGAGCCTTTGGTACAGAAAGATTGCCAAATCCAGGAATGCCTTCGGATAGGTTGACTGCAACCAAAAGCTATTGCCGTCTTGACGTGAAGAAGAACTGAGCTCATTGAGCCCCGTTGGCAGAAGCGCTTTCTAATTCATTGGTCTCTAGTTTCTGGTTCTATCGACTGCGAGTAAGCTGTGTTTGGATGATTGCTAAGTCATTCATTCAATGCGGTTGTTGATCTTGCGATTGTAAAGGTCATGGAACTCTAGAACAAGAAATTGGCCACAAGATGCCAGTTCCAGACCATTGTCTTTGTTTTGTCAAGTAATAGATGACTGCCCTAGAACAAAATGAAGATTGACCCACAAGAAGGTCGGCAGCATCAAGAATTGTTGTACAGTTGGTTGTCGTAAAGCTGTTAGTGTGAATGATTGCTGAAGCATTCATTCAAGGGACGGTGTTAGGATTGAGCTTTACTTCCTGCACATATACGTTGTCCATTGCATGAACAACATGCAACGCTGACAGAGAACATTGGCGTGTGGACATTGCCATGTCCATGATGCATTGGCTCAAGGTGACAACGAGGATTGGCTAAGGATTGGCTCAGCCCAAGTGACACAAAAGATTGCTGAGCGAGAGATTGCATCTGACAGTTGTATGCTTGTATTGTGGTGTGGTCAAGACCATTGATTGAACAGTCATGTGTTTGGTAGTTTACATAACAGTCTGATATTGTACAGAAAGTGACCTTTGAAAATTTCATTAAGGGGAGGCTTAAGGGGGGCTAAGGGGGGGGCTGCTTAAAGGGGGGCTTAAAGGGGCCTTAAAGGGGGCTTCAAGGGACCTTAAAGGGGGGTTCTTCAAGGGGGCTTTGAAGGGGGCTTAAAGGGCTTAAAGGAGGGGGCTTAAAAGGGGGGCTAAGGAGGGGGCTTAAAAGGGGGGCTTAAAAGGGGCATTCACGAGCGTGCATTAAAGGGTTTACGTTTACGACAGGCAACCTCTTGCTTTTCTGTGCTTCTATGGGGTCCATTGGAACCCAGTGATGCCATGACTTCCATTCTGAGTGTAGTGATCAAGGCTAGGTCCTCGATCTTCCTTGGTCACTTGAATTGCACGATTGCCTTTCGTAGGCCCTATGCACGTGTACGCTCACTTAACAGCATTCTCCTTGCATACAACCTTCCCCTCACTTATCCTCCACAAAGAGAGCTGAAGCTCGCTTTAGCATGTGCAAATAAACCCTTTGACGTCGCAGCATGTAATTTGGACTTATCGGAAGAAGAAATGAACACGGTGCTCGATCTCATTGCGGATCGCACGCTGCCTTACTTTCGATGAAATCCATGTAAACTACAGATGTCGGGCTTGCCAAACTTCAGACCATTGGGGCAATCGCCCATCAAACCCCTGCACTCCTGCAAGAAACCAAGTGGACTGCACCTACTCTACGATCAGGCTGCTGCAGCGGCTGGGTCGCTTAGAAGGAACTTGTCCGGTCAAGACATGAAGTTTGACAGCTTTCAGTTCGAAATGTTTTGTCATCGATGTCCCACAGAGATTCGCCTCTCAACTGCAGACTCCACCGCAGAAGAGTGAGCGCGGGTTCACATGCAGGGCGATGTTACCCAGAGACTGTCGCTGCACGTGCCAACAAAGACTCTCACGAAAGGACTTCATTCTATCTCTCCAATAAAAACATGTGGCTGCGGAGCGGTGGCATTCTCAATTCATTCTAAATGGGCGGTGCGATAAGAGAATGCAAGGGGAGGAGCCTGGGCCAGTAAGCAAATGGAAGGAGCTTCGGTGCGACAAGCAATGGAAGGGAAGGCACTTAGGCAGTGCTATGAGCAAATGGAAGGGGCCTAGGTGGTGCGATAAGATCGAAGGCTTGGGCGGTGCTATGAGCAAACAGAAGGGGCCTAGGCGGTGCAATAAGCCTGGCGGTGCTTTCAGCAAATGGAAGGGGCCTGGGCGGTGCGATAAACAAATGGAAGGGGGGCCTGGTGCCATGAGCAAATGAAAGGGGCCTAGGCGGTGCGATACGCGAATGGAAGGGATCTAATAAAGGGTTTTGCTGCTTTTTAAGAAGTGAGCAGAGGATGGGCCAAGCTTCCTTTTTGGGGGCTTAAAGGGGGGCTTGAAGGGGGGGCTTGAGAGGGGGGCTTAAGGGGAGGCTTAAGGGGGGCTAAGGGGGGGGGGCTGCTTAAAGGGGGGCTTAAAGGGGGGCTTCAAGGGGGGGCTTCAAGGGGGCTTAAAGGGGGAAGGGGGCTTAAAGGGCTTAAAGGAGGGGGCTTAAAAGGGGGCTTAAAAGGGGGCTAGAGGCTTCAGGGGGAGGGCTTAAGGGGGCTGAAAAAAGGGGGGCTTAAGGGCGACTCTAAACATTGCTTTATCTTGAAGATGAGAGAGAAGGGATTTATTCTAAATTCCACCCCTCTCGAATCTTGTTTTGTTTTTTGGATTTCGTTCGTCGAAACTAGAGAAGTGAGACTCTAACTTCCCTTTGAAAAGAGAGAGAAAGGAATTTATTCTAAATTCCACCCCCCTCGAATCTTGTTATATATTTGTATTTTTTTGGGATTTCATTATTCGAAACCAGAGAAGTGAGACTCTAAACATACATTTCCCTTTACGAAGCGAAAGAAGGGAATGTGTTCTAAATTCCACCTCGAATCTTGTTATACATTTTGTGTTTGTTTTTGGATTTCATTCTTCGAAACCAGAGAAGTGAGACTCTAAACATTCATTTCCCTTTACGAAAAGAAAGAAGGGAATGTATTCTAAATTCCACCCCCCCTCGAATCTTGTTTTGTTGTTTGGGTTTCATTCTTCGAAACCAGAGAAGTGAGACTCTTTTTAAAGGGGAGCTTAAGGGCAATTCCCATCATCTGAATAAGTTGGCAACCTGCAAGTTGGATAGTCACATACGCAGAAGATTGGATAGTCACAGATCCGCAGCGACCATTGCCGGCATTCCAAGGTCGGGCAGTGTAAGTCTACGCGAACGGTTGCAACGGCCGAAGTTCGACTGTCGTGGCCGAAGCATGATGGAATGGAATACACCATCGGGGCCCACCTCTCCCACAGGGAGGGCAAGCCAAAAGTGCCCCATGGTGATCAGCCAGTGGGGTCTTCCGTAAAAAGTAGCCACAACCAACTGACGATGGTGATCGGCCAAAGATGCGCACATCCAAAAAGCGCCAAGACGGCCTTCCATCGCGATGGACAAGGCATTATTTCTGTGGCTGTATCACAAAATTTTTCTTGGGAAAAATTTCTGGTTGCATTTGCGGTGTTTTGTTTTAAAACGGGACGTGTCCATTTGTGATGCACACACATGCACGCATCATGACATTTAAAATGGCAAGTGCAGCACGTGCCCATTTTCTTGAATGCAGATGTCATGTTTTGTGAAACAACATGTGATATCTGCAGCACCTCGGTTCGAGTAAGGTGCACAGAAAAATTTTTGTCTCTTCTAACCTGGGCTTGAAGGCGCAACGGCTCCGCTTGTTAACAGGCCTGATCCTTTCAACAAGTTTCCCTCTTAGAGGGCGTGCAAGCCAGAGTGATCTCTGGTGGATGGACCCAGCGGATCGCGTTCTTCAAGAGCTTCAGCGTGAGGTTGCCCAGGTTGAGCCCCTGCGGCATCAGGTAGCTGTCTTTCAGGGTGATTTGAGTGCATACCATCTTGAGGTCGAGGCTTTGCGTGCGGAAGTTAAGGCCTTGCTCCTTTGCAAGAGGCCCACGTTCGTGCTTCTGCCCGCCTGCAGCCCCGCCTTGTGCGTCCTGCTCCAGCCATTGAATCCTTGACGGAGCGGGTGTTGCATAACCAGAGCTGTTTTCAGTTTCTTGTTGTGGCGTTGCAGAGAACCTTCCCTCACGTTCAGTGGCAGTCCCTCCACGAGGACTAGACCACCAGATCTGCCTTGAGTCTTCCTGTGCAGGGGGGGGGGGGGAGTGTCAGCCTCAACTTCGATACTGGTGTGCAGCTGCCTGAGATACTTTTCCACTGCGGTACATTGCGCAACATGTCGAATCGCAAAAGACCAGCTGATTTTGACCTTGACAGAGCAATCGAGGAAGCTGGTTTTTCAGGTGCCCGGAGTGTTGAATTGATGCCTTGGGAGAAGCCACCTTTCAAGGGCGTTTTTGAAGTGCAAACATCAGTTCCATTCGCCCAGCCTCTACGTGTGCCCATGCCAAGACCTAATATACCACAGTGGCCGGTATCTGCTTATCAACTCAAAGCCGCTAAGAGAGTGCCACTTTCTGTGCCTGCATCAGGTTCCTTACCGCCTGTGTTTGACCAGGTCCTTCGCAAGGCTCGTCTCGAACCAGGGGTCAAGCAGTCATTGGACAGGGAAGCAGTTGTGCGGCGATGGTTGTGTGTGTTGTTGCATGATACCAGTGCATCTTCAATGGGCCAGATGCTTGCGGGGAGTGCGTGTGATGGTGCCGAGCTTGTGTCTGAGACGTTTGAGGGCAAGGCAACAAGTACTCTTCTGAAAAGAGTCCGCTGCATCGGGAAATACGTGCATTGGGCGTCGGACAATGGGTGCGATGCTTTCCCCTTCTCAATTGAGAAGATCCGGAGTTACCTCAAGGATGCTATTTCGGGTAACAAGAAGAGTGCCATCCGGGATTTTGCAAGCTCCTTGAATTTTTGTCGCTTTGTGTTGGGGTTTCAGGTGAGTGATGATGTGACTTCACACCCGTGGTTCAAAGGGACGATGAGATTTGCCAACATCCGGCTCCGGGATGCCCACCGATCACGGACCTTGACTGTGAAGGAGGTGAAGCATCTTGAAGAGGCCTTGATCGGGGGCCGTTTGGACCGTTTTGATCGATATGCGCTCGGAGTTATGTTGTTTCAGCTGTATGCTCGAGCCCGAGTGTCTGATTTGCGTAATCTGTTCAAGGTTTACCTGGACATAACCGGGGCAGAAGGGTATATCGAAGCACATACGTACGAGCACAAAAGCCGTCGCATCACCAGTGGACCCAGTGCTGTCCTCATTCTGGTGGCTCCGATCCAGGGGCTCGCCTCCCAGCCTTGGGGGCTTGCTTTTGTTCAGGCTGCCAAAGATGTTGGGTTTGACTTTGAGAAAGGTTTCAGAGGCCCGATGTTGCCCCGTTTTGCCAGCGATTACACTTGGTCAGGGGATGCGGTGGATGCTGCTGAAACCACAAGGTGGCTGAATGGCATCCTCAAGGCGCTGATGGGCGAAGTCCTTGATGGCCTAACGAGCCATGGCCTGAAAGCCACAACACTTTCGTGGGTGACAAAGGCAAATTACGGGGACCGTACCATCCTCGTGCTTGGCCATCACTCACTGGGGGCTAGGGGCAAAACTTCCGAAGCATATGGTCGCGATGTGCAGGCGGGACCGCTGAGAGACTTGTGTGCATGCTTGAAATCGATCAGAGTGGGGGTCTTCCTTCCAGACTTGACCCGCAGTGGCATGATCAGGGAGCACGCTGAGTCGCCTGATGAGTTCCCAAGTGGTTTTGCTTCTCGCCCCTCTTTCCAGCCGGCCTTTGCACCGTCCTTCAGTGTTGCTGGCCATGCAAATGACACGGCGCCCGACGAGGCAGCACCTTCTGAAGGGGGGGCTTCAGCGTTAAGTTTGGATCGAGCTCCCGGTTTCCAGGAAGGTGAGACTGAGGTTGCCAGGGAGGCCGAGGAAGATGCAGTCTTCGGTGGCGTGAGCCCAGATCGTGTATGTGAGTCAGGTTCCTTGGAGTCTTCTAGCGACAGTGAATCCTCGGGCTCATCCAACGAGCCGGTTGATTATGATGGCTTCCTCCGAGGCTTCGAGGTGCAGGCCCCGCGTGCAACCATAGGGGTGGACCTGGATCTCTTCCAGAACCCTAAGACCAAATCAATCCACGCAAGGGCCCGAGGTGCGACACCCGACAGCAAGATGCTTTGCGGTCGGCCGGCAAAAGGTTTTGTTCCCTTCTCTGGAAGAGTGCACAGCAAGCATTGGAAGTGCAAGCAGTGTACGATGGCTAAGCCCATCCGAGACACTGGCTCGCTTTTGCATCACCTGGACAGGCGCCTCGAGAGGTAAGGCGCTGTGAAAAGCTTGCGTGCGGCTCGTGGAAGCATTTGCGGATGTTCGCGGCAACATCCTTACTGCCGGTCGTGGCACCGGCAGTATATCTGGGTACCACGGAGTTCCAGCTGCTGTTTTTCCTGAAGGGATGAAGCTTGACTGTTTCAGCAGCCACTGCTCACATGCTTGTTGTCTTCAGTTGGCTCTCTGTAGCAAACTGCAACTCGACAATGCGATGTGTCAACCTGCTGCGCTCAGTCTTCAAGGATTGTAGCTCGTGGTTCGATCACGGCTGCAGAGTTTGTAGAAGGTGCATTCTACGAGATGATTTGACATCATGTTTTGCAAATCGTGTTTGCAATTACTGACCTCGTTTTCGGAAGCTCTAATGGCAGGTGCTTAGGACCTTTGCAGCTTCTTTGGCCACAGTCTACACAGTTTGCCGTAGCACCTCTGTGCAGGTGTTGTTAGGTCCAGTTTTCGCTTACCCTAAGATCCTGTGCGCCGTGTCTGCCTTGTTGACTGAATCTACTGCAGTTTTGAAAGAGCGTGCCGCTAAGGTGGGGTTGCCAGATGATGCATTGCAACGGCTGCTTGACCAGGGCGTCGACACTCTGGCCAAACTGGCGTTTGCCCCTGGTCATCCCGGGGAGTCCCCCAGTGACGAGAAACTCAAGGCCTTAGTTGCTCCAGTAGCTGCCCCCGGGGGTGCAGGTGGTGCCGAGCCCTCTCTTGGTACCGTCGCCGCGGTACGCAGGTTAGTCTTCGAAGCACAAACTTTGGTCGTCAATGAGACCAAGTGCCTAGTTGAGAATAAAGAAGAGCAGCCAAAAGAATTGCCTCCAGCCGAACGGCGTGATCGCCTGCAGAAACAAGCTGCTCGCCTTGCAGGTGTTGACTTGTCTGGTGTCAACGAGTGCTCGCATGCAAGCTATGACCTTTGCCTGAAGCTGATTTCTGACAACTGTGTCTCGTATCTTCAGCCTTCGAAGTTTACCTGCCGGCAGGCGGAACTGCGTATGGATAAGCCCCGCAAGGAACTTGATGTCGCGGCCCCGGGCTCGTCCTCTTCCGTGCTCCTTATCAAGGACCGCGCTGCAGAGCAGCATTGCGACGTGACGCATGCCCTTGATCTATTCCAGGCCCTGCATCGTCGCGCGTTGGCCATGGACCTTGTTGGCCTTAGCACGTATGCTCGCGTGCAAGGGTGGAACTCTTTTCTTATGAACCACCTGCAGCAGCCTGTCCTGGCGGGATACCGCAGCCCCACTGTTCAGCAACTCCTTCACGCTGATAGAGCTGCCTGGGTCCGTTTGTCCGAGTTAACCCCAGCCGGGGTGCGTCGCAAGGCTACCGGTGAATTGCCGTTGGATAGCCTCTGGGCTGATTTGCAGAAGGACCCGCGCGTAGTCTTTCACCTTTTGCCGCTTCCTGACTCTTCGGGCAAGCATCCTGCGCCCGCCCCGCCGGGCGTTCCTGACCCCCCTGAGGGGTCCCCAGCCAAGAGACCCCGGAAGCCCAAAGGCAAAGGTAAAGGGAAGGAAAAGCAAACCCCTACTGAGCCCGCCAACCTGCCTTCTGAGCTGCGAGGCCTCTCATCATGGACACGAACAGGGAAGCGGCGCTGTTGGGGTTTTAACATGGCCGCAGGCTGTCCCGGCGCCAAAGCTGGACAAACTTGCAGCAAGGGCTTGCACGTTTGCATGCGGTGTGGAGGTATGCATGGGGCACATGTGTGCCCTAAGAAACCCGCTTGACTGGCGGAGCCCGCAATCACTTCATGTTCCCACCCTCAGCCTGCGGCCCCTGTGGAAGAGGCTGCTGTGCCTGCTGGCTTGTTGCCGGTGGAGGTGTTGCCTGCCCGGCCTGATGTTCCCCTTTCAGAAAGTGCAGCTCACCCTGGCGGTAGCAAGCAGCTGACTGTTTTCCATGCTCTTGAAGTGTTTGCGGGCAGCGCTCGTCTTACTGTGGCCCTTCGTGCCGTGGGCTTGCAAGATTCCTGTGGCGTCGATCATCGGATCCCCAGGCATTGCCCTTGTCCCATGGTCAAACTTGACCTCACTCGCGATTTTGATGTACAGCTTTTGCATGATATGATCGACAACCCTTTTTGTCTTTATGTGCATTTTGCACCACCGTGTGGCACGAGCTCCCGTGCTCGCCTGATCCAAGAGACCGATCACGATCCCGAACCGTGTCGGGATGATACCTTTCCTGATGGCCTACCCGGGCTTCCTGATCGTTTGGCTCAACGTGTGGCTGCGGCCAACCGCCTCTATGGCGTAACCGCTGCAGCCCTGAAACGGGCGGTTCTTGCTGGCAAGCTTGTCAGCTGCGAGAATCCCCTGAATTCTTTCATGTGGCAGACCACTGCGTGGCGTCAGGGCACCTCCGGTTTGTCCTTGCGGGAAACTGTGTTTGACCATTGTTGCTACGGGGGCAGCCGCCCCAAGCATACGTTGTGGGTGCACAACGTGCCAGCCTTCGACCAACTCAGCCTGACATGCCCTGGCGAGTCCGCCTCCCATAAGCATTTGCCTTGGGGTCGTGTGTCTAAGTTCCGCTATGCTACTAGTGAGGAGACCGCTTACCCGCTTGGGTTGTGCAAGGCGGTCGCCGCACTCCTGCTTGAGGAGCTCTGCCAGCGTGGGTTCCAGCTGCCTGCTCGTTCCCTGTCAGATGAGGTTCGGCAGCAACATAGAGCGGCCCAGGTCAGTCTCGGCTCCCAGCCCCGTGGCAAGAAGGTTGCTCCTATGGTCGCTGAGTTCCGTGATGTGGTCGTTGTGACATCTGACCATGACTTCTTGCCTGCTTCAGCCAAGCTGCCCGTGGCCGTGCCTGTTCCGCCCTCAGCCTCGTGTGACCCGCCTTTGCCAGAGCTGCCCATGGGTTCTCGTATATTGCGTCGTGTTGCACTTGGGGGTGGAGAGACGCCGCGTTCTGGACCTTCATCCCAGCCAAGCAGTAGGAATCAGGGAAACCCGAACTGCCCCGTCGAGCAGTTCGCCTCTGTGTGCCTTCAACAGAAAACTATCTTGGCTGATGATGTAACTCAGCTGTTTCAGCTCTTGAAGTCGGATCGCTTGGCCAGAGGTGCTGGCCTGGATGATGAGTTTTCGTGGTCCACAGGGGCCTATGCACAGGGAGGGGTTACCGGGGTTAGGACTAACCTGCGGCTCAACCCGGCTGTCAGTACTATGCTGTGTCGGTTCGTAAAACAGCATGCACCAGGGCATCCGTTCTCAGCCATCATGCTTGGACGAAACCTTCAAGGAGGGGTTCATGTTGACAAAAACAATGCCCAAGGTTTCCCTAACTGTGTTTTAAAACTTTCATCTTTCGAGGGTGGAATTTGGATACACAATGAGCTTGGGGACGTGCCCTGCCCAGATCCGAACGTGCCTGACTTGATGGGCTGTGAGCTGAAGTTCGAGTCCAACAGGATCCTGTTTAACCCCCACCATAAGCACTGTGCAATGCCCAGGCATGGGGCGACACGTGACATACTTGTTGCCTACACCACCAATCACACAGATCGCTTGACTGCAGACCAAACGGCTGAGCTGCAGTGTGTGGGGTTTGCTTTACCCGAACAGCCAGGACACCAAGCCTCCTCACCGGCAGGGCCCGAGGAAGGCTCCCCCCCATTAGGTAGGGTTCCCGATAGGTTTAGGACGTGGGTTGGAGTACCGTGGACGTGCGATGAATTCATCGAGCAAGCGCTTGAGGCTAAGCACCCGCGTCTTATGAGTTCAGGAGTTCCACCTGAGCTGCAGCAAACGATTGACTTCTTGGCGTCGGAGGGCATGCACACCGTTGGTGCCAGTAGGACTGAAGCTTTACGTCAGTGGCTAGGGCGAGCCGCAGAGCTCGACGAGCAAGAACGTGTGTATAAGGAGACACTGCCCAAGCACTGTGCGAAAACCTTGAGCAAGAAAAGGCTGCTTCTTTTCGGCGAGATGATTGAGGCTGCCGGCCACAATGATCCGTCGTTGGTTGCGGATATGTCTAAGGGTTTTGCTTTAGGAGGTCCGATCCCCTACTGCCCTGAGTTCCGCGCTAAGCGTACAGCTGCCACCATGGCGGCGATGACCTGCGAGGGTCAGCACAACGAATGCGGAAGGGCATCCTAAACTCTACCAAGAGCTCAGGAGATGATGTGGTGGATGCTGAAACTTACCGAGTCACCCTGGACGAGGTGGAGCGGGGGTGGCTGGACGGGCCGCTGAAAGAGAGCGACTTGGGGGCCAGCTCTTTGTTGACCAGGCGCTTTGGCGTTGTGCAGAATAACAAAACACGGCCCATCGATAACTACCTTGAAAGTGGTTTGAATGCCACATCTTCATCGTACGACACAATCACCGTGCACACCGCCGACTGCATAGCATCAGGTTTGGCCCGTCGACTGAGGGCCGATGCAAAGTGCAGGTTGCACCAACTTCTCTTGAAGTCCTGGGACCTTCACAAGGCCTACAAAAACCTTCCACTATCCCTGGAGGCGCTAGAGGACAGTTTCTTGTGCGTCTACGACCCAAAAGGGAAATGTCCCCGAATTTTCCGACAAAAGGTTCTTCCGTTTGGATCACGGCACAGTGTGCACGCATTTTGCCGGGTGTCACTAGGGATATGGAAAGTCCTTGTAGTGCTGTTCTCATGCCACATCAACGTTTATTTTGACGACTTTGTGGGTGTGGAGCTGGCTCCTCTGGCCCGCCTCTTCGACATTGGTGTTTGCCTAGTATTCCGTTTGTTGGGGTGGGATGTCGCCGAAGACAAAGAATCTGTGTTCGACTCCTGTGCAAAAGTGTTGGGGTTGAAGTTCGACTTGTCTGAGTCCCGTCTCGGACGTATCACTCTGTGTAACACGGAGTCGAGGCGAGACGAGATCTTCGAGGCCTTGTCCGACATCCTTTCGTCTGGTTACCTCACGCAAAAGGATGGCGAGCGCATCAGGGGCCGACTCCAGTTTGCTGAAAACCAGATAGCTGGAAAGGTTGCTGGAACAGCCTACAAACAACTGTCGCGGTTTGTGCAACGAGGGGGAGGATACCTGGATGAGTGCACCAGGGTAGCCCTACTAAGGTTGCGCGATCGAGTCAACTTCTCACCGCCCAGGGTGATCTGCGCCAACATCTTGACTACCATGCATCTTTATGTCGATGCCTCTTGTGAGGGTGATAACGTAGGCTTGGGTGGTGTTCTTGTTAATGAAGTGGGTTCGAAGATGGGCTTTTTCAGTGACCGCGCGTCTGAGCATGTGAGACGTCGCATGAATCCTGAGAGCGGCAACCCCATTTTCGAGTACGAATGCTTAGCCATCCTTGTCGGACTCAGGTTGTGGGCTCCGCTCATTCGCAGTACCAACCTCGTTGTGTTTACTGACAACGAGGGTGCCCTGGCCTGTATGGTTGCCGGAATTTCAAGCAACAAGTATGGAGAAGCGATTGCTCAGCATGTTCATGTGCTGTGTGACGAGCTTGGGCTTAACATCTGGTTTGAACGCGTGAACACCTGCTCAAACGTGGCAGATGCCCCCTCACGCGGCTCTAAAGATCCGGAGCTGGGCAAAGAATTCACGATCGATCTTGATACACTCGTTGATCACGCCTTTGAGTCTTGGGGGTTGTGAGAGGCATGATCATCTCCTGATGTCATGTCCCGTATCCAAAGCATTTGGATGCAGCACGCATGCCGTAGGTATGGTGCGCTGGGAGTTCTACTCGAACTTTCCCCAAGATCATCTGCCACCGGCATGAAAAAGGTGTGATTGTGAATGAGTCTGATTGATTAGTGCTTTGCATCCGGTTTTGAAATAGATTCTTGATTCACTTACTTCACCAGAGATGAAGTGAGATTGAATTTTCCCTAAACAAGATACATTTGACCTCCAGTTGAAAGCAAATGCAATTTACAGCAAACAGAAATAAGACGGCCTTCCATCGCGATGGACAAGGCATTATTTCTGTGGCTGTATCACGAAATTTTTCTTGGGAAAAATTTCTGGTTGCATTTGCGGTGTTTTGTTTTAAAACGGGACGTGTCCATTTGTGATGCACACACATGCACGCATCATGACATTTAAAATGGCAAGTGCAGCACGTGCCCATTTTCTTGAATGCAGATGTCATGTTTTGTGAAACAACATGTGATATCTGCAGCACCTCGGTTCGAGTAAGGTGCACAGAAAAATTTTTGTCTCCCACCCAGCCCACCCGGGGTTGTGAGAGGCATGATCATCTCCTGATGTCATGTCCCGTATCCAAAGCATTTGGATGCAGCACGCATGCCGTAGGTATGGTGCGCTGGGAGTTCTACTCGAACTTTCCCCAAGATCTTCTGCCACCGGCATGAAAAAGGTGTGATTGTGAATGAGTCTGATTGATTAGTGTTTTGCATCCGGTTTTGAGATAGATTCTTGATTCACTTACTTCACCAGAGATGAAGTGAGATTGAATTTTCCCTAAACAAGATACATTTGACCTCCAGTTGAAAGCAAATGCAATTTACAGCAAACAGAAATAAGGTGGCTCCTTTAAGAGTTGCAAGGCGACATTCCAACCCAGCTCACCAGGCAGTGTCGATCAAGGCAGAAAACCAGCACAGTGCAACGTGGAAGTGCGTACCGTGACCAGTCAGTGAGGGATCTGCTCGAAGTTCTAATTCGACAGGTGTTCGCCCACTGTATCCTCCTACCCCATGGTGATCAGCCAGTGGAGCTACCGAGAGTAGCCAGAGGCTACCGATTTGCATCGGATGTTTTCATTCTTGCAGGAGCAATCTCGGGGGGCGGATGCCCCAATTGTCCCATCACTGCAGGGGCCATCCCAGCTGCTATCCGCCTGTCGTGCCTGTCCAGATGTTTGGGTCCCACTTGAAAGCGTGGCTCCACCACAACCCCTGCTGGGCCCGCCGCCGCGACTGACTGTGTAAGGTCCCTGTCAGGATCCTGTGACGTGCTTCCCACATGCCCCAGCAATTCTCCGCTTCCGTTCCCCAAGGAGGGATGCCTTTGGGAATTCGCACAGACGACAATTGGGCCACTCGTGCTTTGGCAGAGTGCCACAGCATTCTAGCGGCCGCCTCTATTTGCTCGTACTGAATTTACTCCGTCTCCCTTATGCCTGTAAGGGAAGGAAGTTATCACTTTCGAGTCTGTGAGAATCGTTCCTGCGCCGCTGAGGGCGACAGCATGAGGCCCTGGGCCTTCCTCCACAGTATTCCCCCAAGAATTCCAGCAGGGATTTCGGTCAGACGCCCCTTGAATCAGAATTCCTGACAAGCGGGCCGCAATCAAGGCCGCCTGGTCCCTCTTGCAAGAGGACATCATTTATGTCCGTGCCGATGGTTTTCGATTGCCCGGTTGCGTGGAGGGCATCGAAACGTCACTGGCCAAAGACGGGTGTTCGTGTCATCGCCGATGCGTCTCAAATGCCAGACGAGGAAGCTGCAGTGGCAGGTCCTGAAAAGCCTGTCTGCGGTCCGACCGGACGCACTCAGGCGTAGGTCGCACGGAGCGTGGACTCAAGAAGTCGGAAAACGTGTTTGCTTTTGTGTAAGGCAAGACCTGACTGGTCGACTCACAAGTAGTAGTAGTAGTAGTAGTAGTAGTAGTAGTAGTAGTAGTAGTAGTAGTAGTAGTAGTAGTAGTAGTAGTAGTAGTAGTAGTAGTAGTAGTAGTAGTAGTAGTAGTAGTAGTAGTAATAGTAGTAGTAGTAGTAGTAGTAGTAGTAGTAGAAGTAGTAGTAGTAGTAGTAGTAGTAGTAGTAGTAGTAGTAGTAGTGTAGTAGTAGTAGTAGTAGTAGTAGTAGTAGAGTAGTAGTAGTAGTAGTTGTAGAAGTAGTAGTAGTAGTAGTAGTAGCAGAACCAGTAGTAGTAGTAGCAATAGAGTAGTAGTAGTAGTAGTAGTAGTAGTAGTAGTAGTAGTAGTAGTAGTAGTAGTAGTAGTAGTAGTAGTAGTAGTAGTAGTAGTAGTAGTAGTTGCAGTAGTAGGTTAGTAGTTAGTAGTTAGTAGTTAGTAGTTAGTAGTTAGTAGTTAGTTAGTTAGTTAGTTAGTTAGTTAGTTAGTTAGTTAGTTAGTTAGTTAGTTAGTTAGTTAGTTAGTTAGTTAGTTGGCAGTAGTAGTAGTAGTAGTCGGTCGTCGTCGTCGTAGTAGGAGGAGGAGGAGGAGTAGCAGTAGTCGTCGTCGTCGTCGTCGTCGTGGCCACCGCCGCCGCCGCCGCTGCCGCCGCCGCCGTTAGTCCTCGTAGTCGTAGTAGTCAAGTAGTCGTTGTCCTGGTCGTGGTCGATCGAGCCAGGGCATGGTCATGATGGGTGAGTGGGCTTTGCGCTTGCGTAGTTGATCTCGCCGAGGGCCAGCTTTGTGTCATGGATTCATCGCTGGTACCCAAAGCGCTCAACGATGGACCTGCCGATTTCCTCTGGACCATAGCCTGCCTGATTCAAAACGTAAAAGTGTCTTGTCGGAGAAGCCTGATTTTTTTGTCATGGGCGCGAGACAATTGCAGGAGGGTCTTTGGCAGACTTGAACGTAGTGTGTCTTCCACGGCCAGTTTGAAGACGATCTCATGTTTTGTCACTTCAATGTCAGGCGGACATGGCTGGGCACAACTAATCATAGATGGCAAGTCATTGAAATTTGGTGTGCAGTGCGTTCCGGCTCTCCACAAGGACGAGGCAGGTTGCTGTAGGTCACAGCACGATGGCTGCCATTGTCGCGACTTGGTTTAAGAGTTTGGGCCAGGGGGAAATGATAGAAACGCTTCAGAACAATTGGTATTTGCTATTGATTAGGGCGTCTTCTTGAGGCTGCGCATTTTGACAACTTCTTCTCGAGATCGCGAGCCGATTTCGGTACAAAGCAAATGAAGCCAATCCGCTGCAGCTTTAAATTGTTCAAAAACATCGGTTCTAAGATCTTCTGCAGGCATAGCATAAAACAAGCAGCGTGGCTAGGCGGACAGTAGGTCCCCAAGTACGGAGTACGACCCAATGTTGCTTGTAGCGCGCACTATCTGTATTCTCGAGGGTCCGGCTTTGAAGTTTCAGTCCAGGATGCCCAAGACTAGGGTCACAAAGATCATCCACCGCAACCATCCCAAGCAACAGAGAAAAAGTGGTACATCGCCTTCATATCCGGCTCTGAAGCAGCTCGCAGTTCCAGCTACGAGACTTTCAGGGGACATCCTTGGCCAACACTAGGCTTTTGCTGAGTAAGAAACGTCTTTGGACGCGGATTTTGCCAGCCTCACGCTTGCCCACTTTGCGCCGTACAGACAAGGTGAAGAACACCTTTGTGGAGCTGGTCGAAGACAGTGTCACCCTGTTGCTGAATCACATCCACAATGAACTTGCCCTCAGCTTTGGTTTTAATCGAGCGTCGAGCAATGCGTGAGCCTCCAAAGTTTGCAGGACACTTGCATAGACTGGCTTGAGCGTCGTGTTCGGTCTGGCCCCCTTCCGCTGCTTGGTGAGGCCGGTGGGGGATCAAGGCAGTTACACGGTTTTGCGGTTGAGTTTATTGAGCACGAAGAGTCGTTTTAACGCGGATTCCCAGAATTGGTTCGGCGTTCTCGGGAGTGCCAACACTTCCCAACTTCCCAATGCTAACAAGATGAATTAGACCACAAGTTGTCAATGAATTCGCTCAGATTTTGGCGTGGATCCCAACCAGCCAGTGTAATGCATTGCAGCGTGTGGACATCAACTTGGCAAGCGTGAACATGGCCCACTTTGAGTCTTTGAGACATGCCCCCACCCGACTGACATGAACACGGCTCCTAGCCTGAAGTCGATCGTTTCCGGCAACTTTTTCGGCCCCGAGTGGCTCTTGAGCCCCCCCCGCCTCCGCTCCGCAGGAGCTCGATTCAGATTCGGATGGGCCCGAGGCCGGACACTTGGAATTTCGACCCCATGCATGTTTCACTGAAGTGAGTTCTTACATTCTCTACCAAACTCTTCCGGTTTGGCAAATGTCTGAGAATCACTGCCATCTCACGTTGCCACTGCAAGGTCACTTCCCAGAAGCACCCTCCCCCAACATGTTGCAGCAGCACATTTTGTAAGGAGCACGGCCGTGAAGACCTCGAGGTCGGATGCCTAGAGTGTTGAGGTACGGCTTCAAAAGTTTCAAGTATTTTCAAGTGTACTAAAGGTAGTTTGAGATCTTGAAGTACGGATGGGTTTCCATGGGAGCTCCGCCCCCAAAGTACGACAGACAGACATTCACACACTCACACTCACGCGCTCACACTCGTACTCGCACTCACACACACAACACAAGCACGCACGCACCCACCCACCCACCCACCCACAGGCACGCACGCGCGCGTGTGGCGCGCTCCCGCCAATTGCTTGATGCCAGCACGCCTGTGTGGGTTTTTGGGCCTTGTGCCAGACACCTTTGTTGTTTTGCCATCGCGCAGGAGGAGACCGAAGACGAAGACGAGGAGGCAGGGCCTGAGTTCAAAAGCGCGAAAAAAAATGCACGGACGCGAATCTGATAGCACGCAGCCCGGAAGTTGCTGTTCGTCCAGGGCAGTGAAAACGCATGCTTCCATTGAGTGGAAGCATTGTTTGTAAAGATTTGCGAGGGTGCTGAGTTGTGTGCTGTTTTGCAAATGGAGACGGCGTGCCGTGCTCAGGACCTTGGGCCTGGAATGCCCAAGCTGAAGCCTTCCCCTGAGCGGCCTGATTGCATTGAAAGGACATCAGCGGTGGACATAATCAGCATGTAAATGCAACCAAAATGCAGCGCCCTCCTATCCTGGCAGCTGCCCCGACTGAGGCCTTCCAACGACCGCACCACAATGTGCATCTTCGGGTGGGGGCCTGCCAGCAACGTTTACGAGGTTATCGACCTGCTTCAGGCCTGGAGGGCAATTTTCAAGAGGCAACGGGGGAATTGGCTGACATGTCGCGCCATGACATTATGACCTGCCCCTGAGGTGCTGAAGCAGACTGCCAATGTGGACTTTGCTTACATGCCCATGGACTTCAAGAAGGGCACCAGCTTCGGGGAGGTCTTTGTGAACGCTGTTTCACCGGAGGCAGCCTTGGAGCTTTGGCACATCCTTGATGGGATGGAGTTTCAAGGAGAGTCGGGGTGCCTGACCGTGAAGTGGGCCACCAAGGTCCAAGGCCTGGGTGCGCTCATTGAGAAGTACCGAAACTTCTCGGTAATGCATCACTCCGTACCAGCAGTGGCCAAGCCCCAGTTGCTGGTCAACGGCACGTGTTCACACTTCCCAGCTCCCACACGGAAGCTGAAGAAGCCTCGAGCTCATGCTCCTGTGCGTGGTTAGGTTGGAAAATGCCAGGGGCCCCATGTGCCCTGACGACCGAGAGTTGAAGCCCCAGAAGTCGCGCCCCAAGACTTGAACAAGTGCTTGGTTTCTTTTGAAAGATGCCAAGAGCGCTGGACTTCAAACCCTGTTCATCCCGTTCATCAGTTGGGCGGTGCTGAAGTTAATGTCATCTTGTAGGCTTCGCCACCGAGAACGCAGCAGGGATCCCACAGGTCATTGGTAAGCAAGGATCGGGAAGCTCAGAGCCTCAAGGAGGGTGGCTCTCTCTCTCTAATGTAGCAGGTTGTGTCGAAATATAGACCCCGCTGCTAGCTTGGGAATCCGGAGCGTTGCCTCAACCACAACCATTCTCAGCGTTTCCATCGCTGTTGCTTGCCCTTTAGCTGCTGACACACACAGAAGCTTTTCCTTCTACCCTTCCGCGACCAGCGGTCCAGGGGGGGCATCTTCACTTCTGTATATTCCAGTTGTCAGCAACTGTGTTCCCAGGGCGTCACAGCTGTGCACCGGAAGCTCCAGGACCTTGCAAGCGCAGAACAGTCGCAAGCTTTAGGCTGGACATCGTCTAGGACTGAGCCTGCGCCGGGTGCAAAATGCTGCAGCTTGCTTTTGATGTTTGCTGTTGCAGCTAGCAGCCGCTACTTTTCACTGCTCCCGGGTGTTCCTCATGCAATTGTGATGACATATGGTAGCCCGTAGCCAAGGAGCTTTCTTACCTTTGCATAGGTCCATGTGGCATGCACTTGAGTGTTTAAGGAGTTCAGGCACTGTGTGTGTGATGCTGCAGACTCACTATGGCGGAGAGGCGGAGAGGAGGAGAGGAGAGGTCTGTGTAGATTGCCACACCAGCGGAGCGCAGTCTCGCAGTATGCTCAAAAATGCAGAAATCATCTGCAAGTTTCTTGGAACATTTTGCATCCACACTTGAACCTGGCTCCGGCATGTGAATCGCGCGTGGCTGGCAGCGTGGGTCTCGTGGGCAGCGACTCCAAACCCGTGTGGTGGAGGAGGTCGGCGTGTGTTTATTTTTTTGGCTGCTCCCCCCTGTGACCAGCAAGGTTCCTCAAGGGCCTCAGGGGTTTAAGCACCTGAAAGGCGTTCAAGAGACGGAAAGGGCGCAGATGGTTTCTTTCGAAGTTGCTTGGAGGCATGTCAGGCGGCACCTTTCAGGGGCTACATGGCATTGTTTTGGGTTTTGGGTTTTGGGTTTAGGGTTTAGGGTTTAGGGTTTAGGGTTTTTCCTGAGCGGCTGTGGGTTCGGATGTCGAGGGTTTCTATGCCTGGCTTCTGCCCGATGAGGCTTTCGACTTTCTCCAACTCCCTTTAGCAGACGGGCTTCCCTCCCTTGGAACCAACATGTCCGCAAGAAAGCAATACGGCTGAAGGCAGCAGCTGCGGTGACGATTAAGATGGTTGTTGTTGCTATGCGGTGGTGGTGCTCATGATGATGATCCTGGTGCTGGTGGTTGCAGCAGAGCTGTCACTCCCAGACCAGCAGATTCCCAGAGCGAGCTTCCGTACTTGTAGCTTCCTATTCCGTGGCTGCCTTGAGCAGGGCGCGGCGACTTGGACACTGCCATTGAGGAGGCTGCCTTGAGTAGCGAGCGCAGTTGCTCCTTGACGGTTTGTCAATGTTTGTCAACCTGTGTGGTTTGAAGGGTGGGGGGGAAAAGTGAAGGGGTTAGCGGTTAGGGCTGGCAAACTCAACCCATGAACCCGAAACCTGAAGCCCAAATGCCCATATCCCAAACCATTCCCAGCAACTCCGCCACAAACTCCCAACATCTCAACCTCCTGAGTTGTTAAACGAGGCTTGCATGTGCAGTAGCACTTGAACGCAGAGCCTTCCCTGTGATGTGATGTTTGCGTGTCACAGAACAGTCTGACCGGCCTTTCTGACCGGATGTTTACTGCTTTGTTGTTTTTTGTTTTGGGGGGCTTGGCCAGCCGCGGATCGTGCAGTTGTTCTTCATGATTCGCGGTGTTGGGGTTGGCTCGCAGAGGGCAACCCTCGACTCTCCACCTGAAGTCCGTGATGGTGTTCGCGTGAAACCTCCTAGTTTAACCTTTAGGCAACCTCTGCTTTCTGAGGGTCTTGTTCGAGGTTTGTTGCTAAGTGGTTTGCCCCTTTGAAAGGCTCCCAGCTCAGAGCTTCGGAATCCGAGAAGTACCCAAAATGTGGGGCTTGATGACTATGTACAATCGCATTGGTGGTTGTGAAGGCTGCTGCTTGGTGCAGGTGTGCCGATGACCTTCACGCAGGCCGTGCTTGCAGCCAGCCCTGTGCCCAAATAGATTGACGGCCAGGTGTCCATAGTCCCAGCAGGCCAAAGGCCAAAGGCCTCCCTGAAGAGCATGCGACGGATTCTTCCCGAGTTCTTTGCATTCCAGTTGGTGGGGGGTTGGTCCTACATCCTGGTGGTGTGTAACCGTTTCAGGGTTCCGAGTTGCCCTCCCCAACTCCACAACAACTTGATCCCTGGTTCAATCCCGGGAGCAGCAGCTTTGTTTGAATTGTCGGTCGCAATGCTGTTCTGCTTGCTGTATCTCGCTGGAAAGGAAGCTCCGGCTCCAGGCGTCAAGTTCCTGATGGATGAATCTAGTTAAGATGCACGTCGGGCCCATTCAGGGACGGACAAGCATACCTGTATTGGACAACTAGGGGCAGCTCCCGGGTGCTTATGGTGTTTTCATCCCTAGTTTCGTTCATCCTAAACCCATCTAAACCCCAAAACCCACACAGCCCCATGTTTGCGCGACGGTGGTGGATCGCCTTCCACCTCTTCCGGAGAGAGGCTCTGAAGGAATGCATCCGCTCAGTGGAGAAGTTTCCGCCGCCGAAGTACCAGGCCCGAGGAATGGACCTGGAGAGCCCAACACCCCCTGAATTGCAGTAGGGAGCATGGGCTTCAACGAAAATTGAGGGGTTCCCGCCACGAACTGAGGTATGTTCCGTAGTTAAGGTAGGATGCTAAGGGGTCTTGGGCGCTGTGAGGACACTTTGTGGATGTGCATGCTAGCAGCAGCACCCACCTGCATGCCACGTGCCCACACCCGTGCGAGCGCGCGCACGCGTGCACGCGCACACGCGCAGCACACTCGCAAAAACACAAACACAAACGCGAGCACACGCACACGCGCAAACACGTATACCAACACAAACACAAAATCACAAACACAAACATTAACATGAACATAAACACTCCTCGTCTGGGGTGGGTGCTGACCGGAGCTTTGGTCTTCACCCCTCCACTCCGAGGGCACAGCTACCAGGACCTGGTTGCAGGAGATTGGCCCGAGCCTGCCATTCCCTTTCAGAGGAAACGGTGGTGCATGAGTGAGTTCTCTGAGCGCATGGGCGCGTTGCGTACGTAGGATCCGCAGACAGATCTGCGGAGAAGTGTGCCTGCTGCTATAGCACGCGGCTGCGAGTTGCCCAAGATGTTGTCTGCCTGGCTTAGTACCTTGAAGAGGGATCTTTGGGGGAAGCGCTATTTTGCATGGGCCTCAGCGAGGATGGAAGCTGTCTTTGCCTTTATGCTGGTTTTCCAGTGGCGGGCCTAGTTGTGGCTCCTTGCAAAATTGTTGGCAAGGCGCTGTTTCTAGGGTTGGGGCACTTGCCGGAAGTGAACCCCATGTGAAGGGGGCAATGACGCTTGCGGAGCCTCCGAGAAGCCGGGAGGGAACGGTGCCAAAGGCACGGCTCCTGCGCGTGCCAGCTCGTGCAGTGAGCCAGCACTCGCTCATTCATCGTTCACTCAGGCGCATCAACAGGAACATAAAAACATACACACGCACAAACACAGACGCAGACGCAGACAGAGACAGGTTACACAGAGACAGAGACAGAGAACAGAGAGCAGAGTACAGAGAACAGGGAGAAGCGAACTGTGAACTGAGTACTGAGAACAAAGAACGGAGAACAGAGAACAGCGAACAGAGAAGAGAGAACAGAGACAGAGACAGGGACAAAGACAGATTCAGACAGACACACAAGCATACAAACACAAGCACGAACAAACTCGAACGCCATAGCTGGGCTTGCTCAGAATACTCATTGTATATTGGTCTGGCATCTAGCACTTTCGAGTGGTTTGTAAAGGCACGACAGAACGTGTGCTGCTCGTCCTCATTCTGCTTGATGTGAGGCCTTCGAAGCCGCTCTGATCGGCGTTTGCGTCGCCTGCTTCTGCGTGGAGGGCGACTCGTCACGCGCCGGTGTGCTGTCCGTGGAAGATGCCACGAACTTCATCTTCTGTTTCTTAGCATTTCTTCATGGGGAGTTCGGGAGCTATAAGTAATTACCTTCTACCCCCTGATACGACCCTCTACAGTAAGGATGCACAGGGCAACTAATATCACCCCAAATTCGAAGAACACCAATAAGCAAGGTTTGGAATACCTGGCCCGTGCCTGGGCCAACGACTTCCAGGTCACCTGGTTCATCAAAGGGTCCTCCATGATTGACCTGCTCTCGTGCCTTCCCATTGTGGAGAAGGCGGCGTCCCTGAGCCCCACATCGGAGATGAGCCTCGAGCTGACGCTGCTCCGCTCCATACGCTTCCTGCGCATCTTCCGGCTTCTGAAGTCCACGGCCATGATCGAGGACAGCAGCGGCCGACGGCGCAGGTCCCTTGGCCTCTCGGTGCTTCGGATCTTGGTTTCTGCCGTCGGGACCCTCTCCATTTCTGCCGGCCTGCTTTGGAGGGTGGAAGGCCAGAACGGGATCAACCCAGCAATCAACTCTTTTGGCGACGCCTGCTTCTACATGCTCAACGTGTTCACTTCCCAGGGCGCGCCCTTTCCCGTGATGAGCACACAGGGCCGGTTTGTGACCGCGGCCGCCATCCTCATCGGCTTGCTGTCGCTGCCCGTGCAGGTGTCCGAGCTCTTGTCCCTCCTGCGGACCATGAAGGCGGAGGACCGAACCGACCCAAACGACCCAAGCGACCCAAGCGACCCAAGCGACCGAAGCGACGGCGCCACGAGCAAGGGCCTCAATGGCCTCGATGGCATCAAAGGCCCCTGCCCCAGCGACAGCCCTACGGCCGACAGCCTAAGCCAGGGTGACGGAGGCTTCCTGAGCATCTCGGTGCGCGACTTCTGCAGTGAGGCCGGGATCAGCAGTGCGTCCCTGGAGCCCGGGTTCTTGGACGTGGAGGTCGGGGATTTCTTCACGGTACTGGAGGATGCCTCCACTGCCCCGCACATTGCGCCGCCGGCCGTGCGCTTGAAGCTGCTGGCCGCCCTGGTGCGCCGAAAGCGGCAGTTTTCCTTACCAGACCAGTTCAAAAGGAGGAGGAGAGGAGTGGAGGGGCAGTAGAGGGGCCCCCGCATCCTGCAGGAGATTAGGGGGTGTTTGTTTAGAGGCACTGGGTTTGGGATGTTTGGGTGCGGGCATTCCACAAACATCGTGTTGAGGCTTGGGCTCCTGCGTACTTCTTGGGTTCAGGGTTTGCCTTTTCCCGGGTTTTTGGGGAAGCTTGTGGCCGGAGACGTTTGGGGATATCTCGCATTTCATGCGTTTTGGGGGGTTTGTGTTGTAAAGTGTCATAAAGGGCTCAAGGGTGGGGATCTTTTTCAGAAGACTCGGCAGGCCACAGAGGACGGCTGAGCACTGGCAAAGCCAGCGCAGCGTGGTGGCCTAGCGTCGGCCGTTTGCCGCAACTACGCAGGCTCCCCCCCCAAAGCCCCTTCAACCCCAAAACCCCCTGATTAAGCACTGAGAACGCCCCTGTAGCGCCTTGAAGCCCTTAAAGCCCCAAAAGACCCTCAAAGCCCCAAATGCCCCAGCACCTTGAGCCTGGAGCCTGGAGTCTTGGATCTCAAAAGAGCCGGGGAGTGGCTGGGGACCTCGAGCCCTGGACATTTCAGAATCGACTTGAGAAGTAGGCCCAAGCAAGGCTCTAGCTTCGCCTGCCTCACTTAAGCCTTAAAAATAGAACTTTACTTCCCCGATGAGTCCAGCTACCTACATGAACCTCCAAGTCTCGGACGTCGACCTTGCCGAGTATGCTGGGGCGTCCATGGTTCCGCCGTTTCTGAGCTCTCAGCACATTGGGGTGGCTGCGGTGACATACGACAGCAGAGCCGAAGCATCCTACCACAGCAGAGCAGTCCGGGGGGGCACACTCCATGTCTCAAGCTAGGACTAGGACTGGCTCCCCACTGCACGCCGCGGGGGCGCGCAGGCCTTATAGGCGCTTAGGCGTTGTGTGGGAGAGGGGCGCGCTTGGTGACGTGCTTCTCTCTGCCCCAGAGCCAGCGCCTCGGCAGATCTTCTGGTTCTGGGATTTTGGGGTCAAGACGGTTACGGACACCAGGGCTTCAGGGCTTCCGGGGGCAAAGTTTGAGGGTTGGAGTTTCCGGTTTCAGGTCTTTTGAAGGCTTCATGTGTCGGGCAAGAAGTGTTAAGTGACGGCCTGGCTTTCGTCGTTTCGATGCTCTCGACCGTGCCATTGCCAATGTTTGCACTCTAACTCGGAGCAACTCTAACTCGAGCAGGTGCCAGTAGAAACGGCGAAACGACCGGGGGCACCGGATCCACGAGCCACTTAGGGTTTCGAGTTTAGGGTTTCGGGTTTCGGGTTTAGGGTTTAGGGTTTGAATGAATTGGAAGCAAATCAGACTGCGATCTGACGCAAAGCGTCGCGCAAGCAGAACGAGGCTGGCAGCCACGACCATCCTTCGAACTCATGCTCTGAGGCTAACCGGATGCAAGGTTTGGGACCCCTAAGCCCCCCTTCCTCTCATCGATACGGCCGATACGGGTTGAAGAGGGCTGAAGAACCACCTGAACTCTCTTCAAGCGATTCGCTAAGCACGTGCCTGCAGTTCTTAGGGCCCGCCACCCCAACCCCCCCCCCCAAGCCCCGAATCCTAAATCACTCAACGACTGATCCTTCACATTAAGGCCATGGCTTTGCAGCTGGTTGCTCCGAAGGGCGGTCAGGCCCCGGAGGGATGGTCAGGTTGGGGTGACAAGGAAGAAACCACCTTGCGACCCTAAACCCTAAACCCTAAACCCTAATCCCTAAACCCTAAACCCTAAACCTAAACCCTAAACCCTAAACCCTAAACCTTAAACCTTAAACCCTAAACCCTAAACCCTAAACTAAACCCACTTGCGCCCCTCTGGCAGGTGAACCTTCGCCTGCAGCAGACGAAGCCCATTTTCGGGAAGACCAGTGGCCCCCGCAGCGGACAGCTTTTGAGAGGTGTCCCTCCCTGACCCAAGGGCCTAGACTGCCTAAAGCCCTTGCATGTTGCGTCTCATAAGCCCGAAACGATATCCTCACACCCTCAACCCCCCCCGTAAAAGCCCCATGAATCCAAACCTCGAGCCCTCGACCCTCAACTGTTGAGGTGGGCTACTTGTGGGTGGGTGGTGTCACAGTCGGGTTCAGGGTGAGGCTTCTATTGTGCTGGTGCGAACAGTCCTTGAGACCTTTTCACGCCTGGGCCATGTCACGCTGAGGCGTTGACCAGGACAAGGTGGCGAGCGTGCTGAACGGCGGAAAGAAGGCCGGCCTACGGGGTTGCACAACGCACAAGCTCCACTCGGAGGGCTGTTCTAAGCCGGGATACCTTTAAATTTGTCAGGAATCCAGTGCATTTCAAAAGGGTGCTTGAAAACCCATGTCTACTGTCTCAGCATAGCTTGAGCTGTGATTTAGGGGGTGGGGGCTCAGCTCTGGCCCCCAATACCTTTCAGAGCGGCCGAGGGAATCTGGCTTTGTTGCTTAGGGCAGGGTGCAGGCTTTCCGTGTTTAGGGCCCTAGCAGCCCAAACCCTAAACCCGGATGGCTCGAACCGAACCGTAGGGGGTGGTATCCTAGTAGAAGTTGTAGACTCGTCTTGGAGGCAGCACAGGGTTTAGGTTTAGGAGGCAAGCCATGCCAAGTAGCCACCGGCTGTTGAAAAGCCACGCTGCTGCTGCATGAGGTTTCCCGAGCTGGCCCTTTAAGGCTACAGATGAGGGATGGGCACGCCATTCCTGGGCTCCTGTAGCCCTATAGGATCCCTAAGTGAAAGATGCTTTAGGGTTTAGGGTTTAGGGTTTAGGGGACACCCAAACCCGAACGGCCAAAGGAGCTCGTGGTGCCCCTGCTCCAGCACCTCACGGCCGCAGGCCGGTCGACCATCGAGACCCTCCAGGCCTTGGGAGGTCTTAGGGTTCCGGGGTTTTTGTTGCGCTGATCTTGGGTTTAGGGTTTAGGGTTTAGGGTTTGGGGTTAGGGTTTGGGTTTAGGGGCTCGGGGAGGTTTTTCGTGTGTAGGGGTTCTCGGGTTGGGGGCTCACGGAGGGCTGGGGTACATTTTGGGGATTCGGACGTGTGCTCTTAGTGTCGGCCATGTCCGGCTACCAAGCCTCAGCCCGAAGCCCTAAGCCTCCAAGCCCTAAACCGCCTAAACCCCAAACCCTCAACCCTCAACCATACACCCTAAACCCTACGCCCATCCAAATCCCCGAAGCCCTACACCACATGCCAAGCCCTAAACCCTAAACCCTAAGCCCTAAACCCTAAACCCTAAACCCTAAACCCGAAACCCTAAACCCGAAACCCTAAACCCTAAACCCTAAACCCTACACCGAGCCGCAAGGTGACGGAGTGCATTGGACGACTTCTGAGGACCCTTTGCCACCCCCAAATTCTCAGAGGGGGGGCGGGTGTTGGCGGGTTTTTTTGGGCATTTGCGGTTAAGGGGGTTATTTAGGGTTTTGCTCGGGCGTGTAGGGGTGTTTAGGGGGGTTCAGCGGGTTTAGGGGGGTTCAGCGGGTTTAGGGGGGTTAGGGGGTTTAGGGTATTTGGGGTTTAGGGGGTTCGGGGAGTTTTCAAAATCCTGGTTCAGGCCCCTGAGGACATGCTGCAAAAGAGCGACCCTGTTGCCCTGCGCCGGCCCTTGATCCTAAGCAGCAGGGCAAGGTGCAAGAACAGAAAAACCTCGCCAGTAGCATACCTCAATACCTCGTATCTACCATTGCTGGCCAACTGGCTCTCACCAAGGGAGACAATGCGTCCGTGGAGGGGAAAGGTGGTGGGTGTCGGTGTCCGTACCACGCCTTCATCCGTCCCCGGGCCAACAGTAGCCGGGCAGCCACGCCGGTTTGCGGTTTAACCAGCAACGACCCCCTAGCATGAAGGGCCTACCTGGGCAATTTCCGTGAGGCACTGCACATTGGCTGGTGTTGGGTGTCAAGCCAAGCCTTTGACGGTGGGGCAGCCCATATGTGTCATAAGGAGGCCCCAGTGGCTAACTGTAGGGTGTAGGGTTTAGGGTTTAGGGTTGTAGGGGTTTGAGGTTTTCGGTGCACAGGAAGGCCGTGCACACCCCCCCCCTGGCGTGCTCAGGTGAAGGAGTGCCACTGATAGTGGGTGTTTGGGCTATTTTTCAATCCGAAACCCATCTAAACCCAATCTAAACCCTCAACGCCACAGCGCAAGGAACCGAGATCCGGCCGTGGCCGCGGCCGCCGCGGAGGCCCAGAGCAGACTCGGCCGTGGCTTAGATTTTGGAGTTTGTTGTTTCAGGTTTAGGGTTCAGGGTTCAGGGTTTCGGGCTTAGGGTTTAGGGTAGAGACCCATTGAGTATACCCTTAAGCAACTGGATACTCGTAGAGGCTCTGCGTACTCCTTCATTGAGGGGGGTTTTGGGAAAGCGAGGACGGATCAGTGCCTTGGAGATAAGGTTTCGTGTGCTTAACTCTTGCTGGCTTCGGGGGGATGTCTATCGGGGCTAGAGGTCTCAGGTAAACACAATCGTGTGAGACCCAGCGTTTGCATCAGCTTCCCAAGAGGCCCTCGCCGCCTCTGGGGCCGGTGGGCAGCGCCATGAGGAGGCCCGTGTTTAGGGTTTAGGATTTAGGGTTGCGTTTGGCAGTTTTGGATGTTGGTTTGGGATTGAGGGTCCAGCGTTCAGGGTTTTGGAGGGCACGCAGGGTGTGAGCCTCCCCCACCCCGAACAAGAACTACCTCCCCTCGGTGGGAGGGTGAGCTACCCAACTTGGGTTGGGGATTTGTGGCCGAGTATGGCCTAGTTCAGTGGTTTTCTCAAGATCTTGAACCCCAATGGGCTCTGTGGTGTGAGCTCTGTCGAGGCATTGCTAGGCCTCCTCCTGCGACCCGAGGACTGTGGCCTTGCACGGTTTAGAGTGCAGGGTTCTCTGCTCGGTACTTGCGCGCCTTGAAGAAGTTCAGAAGGCTGCGCTGGAGGTTCTCCAGGCAGGAAGTCAGCCCACAAACCCCAAAACCTTAAACCATGAAGGCACCTTCTCTTGCGGAAAGCCCCCCTGCAAGCAAACAGTCAAGAGGGAGAGAGAGGCCCCAAATTCCGAAGGTGCGGCGGTGAGTGGTGTAGAAGGACCATAAGACTTGTTAAGGGGTTCAAAGGTTAGCTCGGGGTGCCCTGTGTGTTTTAGTGCAAAGCGAGCAAGAGCCCCGACTCTTGAACCTCAAACCTTATATTGCCTGGTGGTCCCTTTAAGCAGGGTTTCTGTTTTGTGGGGGGTCCTTATTTGGGTATTTAGGGACTATTATTAAGGCAGATACAGAGGCCACTGGCCTTTATACCTCAAACCTTCAGTATACTATGTACCCTTTCCACATACAACAGCATGTGCAGTCGTTTGAGTCCATGCCAAAGAATTCACGACGTCGCAGCAGGCAAGTCGAGCGTATTCAAGACCAGGAACACTTTGGCCCGACCCTAAAGCTCTAAGCCCCAACACCCTGAAGCCCTGAAACCCTGAAGCCCTGAAACCCTAAGGCCGAAACACTAGGGGCCCCAACGCTAAACGTCAAAAGTTTCCACACAGGCCTCGACCTCTGCCAGTCGCAAGACTTTGGGCGCCTAAGGTTTAGGTGTCTCGGGTTCTAGGGCTTTGGGTTTTGGATTCAGGGGCTCAAGTGTTTAGGTGTTAAGGGAACCCGACCAAACCCTAAACTCCTAAACCCGGGAGAGGGCTGCGCTCTTCGTCCCTGCCTCCCACTCCAGGACTCCGTCACCACTGCCGGCCTGAGGGCGCTGGCACAGCTAGGTGCAGACCTTGTGCTCCCGCAGTGCGTGGGGTTTAGGGTTTAGGGTTTAAGGTTTAAGGTTTGGGGTTTAGGGTTTGGGGTTTGGGGTTTAGGGATGTTTAGGGTTTGGGGCTTAGGAGTTTAGAGTTCTCAGTTCTCCCAGGGAGCCTTGCAAGCACCATGCGCTCTTTTGCAGAAGATGGGAGTGTGTGGGAATTCGTGAGCCCCAGGCCCGCTGATCCAGCCTGCGCGGAAGGCGGTGGTCATCCGACAGGCCTGCAGAGCTTTCTAAAGGGTAGTTAACGGGGCCTTATGGGTTTAGGATTTTAGGGTTTGGGGTTTAGGCCGTGAGCCCTTTATACAACAGGGATCGGCCCTAGAAAGCCCGAGCGTCAGAAGCCTTGGTAGCTACCCGTTACAAGGTTGGGAAGGTGCCCTCGATAAAGATCATGGCGATGACGAGGATGATCGTACAGCAAGCGTAGGCATCGTAGTAGCTGTAGCAGTAGCAGAAGTAGCAGTAGCAGAAGTAGCGGTCGTCGTCGTCGTCGTCGTCCTCGTCCTCCTAGTACTAGTACTAGTACTACTACTAGTACTAGTTCTTGTATGAGTTCTTGTGCGAGTACGAGTACGAGTACGAGTACGAGTACAACTACGAGTACGAACACGTATACGACTACGACTACGACGACGATGATGACGACGACGACCACTACGACTACGACACGCTACATGGATGTAATCATCGTTGGGGCATTCGCGCGCACTGGTAACATGTGCGGGCGTGGATGCTCTGGCCATTGACACGCACTGGTAACATGATGTAATCATCGTGGTAGTTGGTAGGGAGAAGACGACAACGACCACGACCACGACCACGACCGACGACCGACGACCGACGACCGACGACCGACGAGCGACGACCGAGGACCGACGACCGACGACGACGACTGATGATCAGGATTTCGTGCAGCGCCAGCGATCTGACCACTTCTTGAAAAACCTACAGTAAGCCCTAAACTCAAACAGCCGACAAAGTCAACGCGAAGAGTCTAGCAAGGGAATCGTATTCCAAACTCGATGTGGGTCTCTGATTAGGCAATGTCAAAGGCATGGTAGGGACTCACTCAGGCTACGTTCTCAAAGTAATCCGACAGGACCGCCTAGTTGAATGCGCCTGACCCTAAACCCTCCACCCGGACGCCCCTGACATTGGGAGGTCGCAACCTGCCTCTCGCGCAGCGTGCCTGTCCGTAGTGCAGCTCTTCGCCACCCGGATGCACCCACAGAGGATGTGTGTGTGTGTGTGCGCGGGTTTAGGGTTTAGGGTTTAGGGTTTAGGGTTTAGTTAGGGTTGTGTGTTCAGGGTTAAGAGGCTTAGGGTCCCCTCCCACATGCCCCCATTTCCGGGAGAAGCTTGAAGATGTGGGAGAGGGGGCTCAGTTCCCAGACGACATCTTCGTTTCGAGTGGACCGTCAGGCGAGTAGCTGCCAAACAACGAATCATTTTGAGCTGTCGGCGGCGCGAGATTTGCGCAACGTATGGCGTGCAGGGTTCTGGATTACTCTTATGATTGCCGAGCCCAAGGAACCTTGGCGGCTCTCAAGGCCACGCGCCAGGCGCGGCAGAGGGCTTGGGCTTGAGAAAGGTGGCGCAGGATTCAGGCTTCAGGGTTTCTTGGGTACTTACAGAGTTTGGGGAGGTTGTAGGCTGCACTCAATGCAGGAGGTAGCTCCCTAAAGAAGGCCCAGAAAAGTCGACATCAAGGGTGTGACTTCCTCACTGTCACCTCTCTCACCGAGTTCATGCGTCTGTTCATCTTGTTCCTGTCTCACCGTTCAGTTCAGTTCAGTCCAGTTCATGATAACCTTTCTAAACGTTGAGACCCCAACATCAGGTTCACACGGCTCTATCTCTAGCTCCTGTTAATGGTTGATTTGGGGCTGAGTCTTAATGTCTTATCTCTCTCACACCTCGTTTCGCATTCATTGTATATATATATATATATATATATATGGTACCCCACCCCCCCAGAACCCACCCTCAAAGACATAAACGCTCGATATTTGGTTGTTTGAGTATGAAAGACCATTTAAAAAAACACTTTTCCCGGGGGCGTTTTAATTAAAACGGGCCCCGTTCTAATTAAAACGCATGGAACCAAGAACCAAGAACCAAGATTTCCGGAACAGTCTTGGGACGAATCTTGGTTCCTTGGGGATGGGGGCGTTTAATTGAAACGGGCCCCGTTTTAATTAAAACGCCTGGAGCCAAGAACCAAGAACCAAGATTCCCAGAAAAGTCTTGGGATGAGTCTTGGTTCCTTGGGGATGGGGGCGTTTTAATTAAAACGGGCCCCGTTTTAATTAAAACGCCTGGAACCAAGAACCAAGAATCAAGATTCCCAGAAAAGTCTTGGGACGAATCTTGGTTCCCGAGGTAGAGGGCCGTGTGAATTGCCTGGCTCTTCAACCTGACGGACCCAGGTCCTGGGAACCAAGATTCGTCCCAAGACTTTTCTTGGAATCTTGGTTCTTGGTTCTTGGTTCCAGGCGTTTTAATTAAAACCGTTTTTTTTTATAATTAAAACGCCCCCACCCCCAAGGAACCAAGATTCATCCCAACACTTTTCTGGGAATCTTGGTTCTTGGTTCTTGGTTCTTGGTTCCAGGCGTTTTAATTAAAACGGGGCCCGTTTTAATTAAAACGCCCCCATCCCTAAGGAACCAAGACTCATCCCAAGACTTTTTTGGGAATCTTGGTTCTTGGTTCTTGGTTCCAGGAATTTTATCTAAAACGGGGACCGTTTTAATTAACATGCCCCCATCCACTGGGAAATGAGACTCGTCCCAAGACTTTTCTGGGAATCTTGGTTCTTGGTTCTTGGTTCCGGCCGTGTTAATTAACACGGGCCCCCTGTTAATTAACACGGTGCCCAGACCATGGGCACCAAGAATCCCCGAGTTGGATTCCCCCCAAACCCACCTTAAGGAAGAAGCTCATCGCCATGAGTTCTTGGGGGTGGGGGGGGGGGGGGGGGGGGGGCAAACTTGAGTCATTCAGTCTGATTCAGGGCAGCTGTCTTGGTTTGTTGTTCGCTATACAGCAGCAAAGTATTAAGTTCATATTTCTTACTGTAGCTCAAGAAGTCCTACATAAATATGAGCACAGAAAACTCTGATACGTATATTTGGAAATTACCCGTTTTAAGTAAAACCGGGTCCGAACCAAGAACCAAGAATAACCCTGGACCTCAAAATTTAAACCCGAAACCCTACCCCTAAACCCTAAACTAGGAGCAAAGGTTTAGATAGGGCTGAGACATTAAGACCCCGCAGGCACCGAAGCATGATCATTCCTGAACAAAAATCATTGAAGCAATCGGGTCTTAGTGTAAGGTTTTGGACAAGGCTTCAGCCAGAATGTTTAACAATTAGGGTTCACAGGAGTGGGCCTAAACATGAAGGATACACCCCGCAGGCACCGAAGCAAGATAATTCCTAAACAGAAATGCCTTCAGTGGCGAGGGAAACGTAAGGTTATGGGCTGGGTTTCAGACGAAATCTTCAATGAATTACAGGGTTTACAGGAATAGGAAGCATGACTATTCCTAAACAATATTCGTTGAATGTACGGGAATAGGGTCTGAGCTTTAGAAAAAGTTCTTTAGGGAAAAGGGTCTGGGCTATAGCGAAATGCCTTCATTGGCGAGGGAAACGTTTTACAGGAATAGGAAGACTGAGTATTCCTAAACAACTTCCGTTGAAAGTAAGGGAATAGGGTCCGGGCTTTAGTAAAATTTGTTTAGGGAATATGGTCTGGGCTTTAGTGAAATGCCATTAGTGACGCGGGGACACATAAGGCTTTGGACTGGGCTTCAGCCTACACCTTCAAGAGATAGGCTGCCTGACCACCAATATTTGTTTTAAGTGTGTGAAGAAGGGTCTGGGCTTTATAGCTGAGGGACAAGGGTCTGTGCTTTGGCGAGATGCCTTCAGTGGCGAGGGAAACGTAAGGTTCTTGACTAGGTTTCAGCCTAAACCTTCAATGAATTTTAGGGTTTTCAGGAATAGGAAGCACGAATATTCTTAAACAATTTTCGTTGAAAGTATGGGAATAGGGTCTGGGCTTTATTAAAGTGTCTTTAGGGAATAGGGTCTGGGAATTTGCGAAATGCCTTCAGTGACGAGGGAAAACAACAGATTTTGGACCAGGTGCCAGTCTGTCAGCCTAAACCGTCAACGAATAGGGTTAAGTGAAATTCTCTCTAGTGGCGAGGGAAACTTTAAGGCTTTGGAATAGGTTTAAGCCTAAACCTTTAGGGTCTGTATCTCAGCTTTAAACGAATAAACATAGGGAGGGCTTGTTTGTCAGCTACTAGAACAACTTTGCGTACAAACGGCTTATCTTGGTGTTCAAATTATTTAGGATGCAAGCTTGGTGAATTCTGCTGCGTGCGACCCGGCGGGGAGGGTCCAACCTCCACCTCCCCACACTGCCCTTACCCATCAGATTAAAGGGGTGGCTCGCCAGATATGGCACTTATTGTATCGCAGCCTTCGGGGAAACACCCCGCCCCCTTACACTGTGCTTACGGTGGGTTCTGGGGGGGGGGGGGTAGCATATATATATATATATATATATATATATTTATGCACATATACATATACATATACATATACATATACATATACATATACATATACATATACATATTCATATTCAGATACAGATACATATACATATACATATATATGTATGTATGTATGTGTATATATATATATTGTTTGAGGTCATTTGTAAAGCTTCGCCGCCAGGCGCTCGCTATATCCGATGTGGTGCAGACGGAGAAGGTCCCCCACAAGTGCAGAAGAATTAAGCACCCCTAATTCCTAACCCCAAGGCCCCGAACCCTCAATTCTCAACCCTACCCCCAAACCCAAGCCTGGCACCGCCACCAAACCCACCTCCCAAACCTATTTTTTCTAGGTGCATAATGGGTCTAAGAGCAAAAGGAGCTGTTGAGTAAGCCCTAAACCCGAAACCCTAAGCACCGAAACCCAAAACCCTCAACTCTGAGCCCTGAGCCCTAAACCCTAAATCCTAAACCCAACTCTGGGCCCTAAGCCCTAAGAAGCCTTAAATCCTGGCTACAGAGGTGCCGGAGGTTCAGGGCATTGCCGTGGAGGCACCGGTGGGGGGGCAGCTGCAGTGTGTTTTGGGCTTAGGGTTCAGGGTCTCCTGGCTTTTGAGTTTGAAGGGCCCCGAATCCTCAACCCTTGTCGCATGCCATCCTGAAAGCAATGAGCGCCTTGGACTGGCTCTAAAGAGATGTCTTCATGATCTTAGAGAAGGTCATCGTTTAGGGTTTAGGGTTTGGTTGGGATCTTCCAATATATTCCACATTATTGAAGTCGACAGGGACTGCATGGGGTCCCTTGAGTCACCAGGAAGGCCCCCCCAACAAGGCTCTCGCAGCGCTGTCAAGGAAAGGCACGATTTTAAACGAAAAAGTCTGCTGGGTTGAGGGTTTAGGGTTTAGGGTTTAGGGTTTGGGGTTTAGGGTTTAGGGTGCTTTGGGATCTTTGGGCTTGCGATGTCTGGTTGATACTGCAGCTGGTAGGGGGACCCTTTTTAGGCTGCGGCGCAATTTTCGGAGCTTTGGGCCACGAGGGTCACCCCTTTCGCCTTTGCTGCCCCAGCCGTGCAATCAGGCTTTGGCGCAGCTTGCATCGCTGACAGCCGAAGCGGTGGCTCAGCCTAACCTCGGTACTGTAGGCCCTTGCGAGGCTGCACGTTTTAATCTTGGGTTTCGGAGGATCGCATCCAGAGATCTTTAAAAGGGCTTCAAGGGCCATATCCCAATAAAGATACTCAAGTCCAAAAAGCTTTTCCGGCTGTTCGTGGTTTCCGATGAGCATGACTCTGACCGTTTTCAGCTTCTTCCGGGTTCAAGACTTCTAGGCAGCACTTCAAGCCGCGCATGTCCCTGCAAAAACCACTTCCGCAGCCTGACCAAAAACAAACATGCCGACATTTGGGGGTTTCCGAGAGTAGGGGGGGGTTACCTTCTTGGGGTCCTTTTTAGAAGTGAATCCTATTTTTTGGGGGTCTATATTAGGGGTCAGCCCTAAACCCTAAACCCTAAACCCTAAACCCCTCTTATACACCGAGATTGTTAGAAAGACCCTCAGGGCCTCCTCCTTCTCCTCTCAGGAAAGCTGCTTCCCTGAGGACGCCCGCGAGAAGAAGCTAGCCGAGATGCGGCTCAGCCTTGGTTTAGGGGGTGAGGGTTTAGGGTTTAGGGCTGTTCTCTGGGGGCTCAAGAGTCAGTCCTGCCTGTCAGGAGGATGCCCTCAGGTTCTGGCCCCTGGCAAAGCCCCTAACGCAGGGCCGAGCGATGTTTGTTTGAGCCTCAAGTTTAAGCTTGGACGCCAGTAAGCCCTGAGTAGTCCACAGGGTCCAGCCCTAAACCCTCAACCCTAAACCACCCAAAGCCCTAAACCCTAAACTCTATAATTCCTAAACCCAAAACCATAAACCCTAAACCCTAAACCCCAAACCCCTGAATTGTCGTGTCCGCCTAAAGCTGAGGCTCGGTGACGACCGCCTGCGCTACTCAGCGCTGATGGCGCTGGCCTCGCTGGGTGACAAGGCGGGGGGTGCGCGGGTCGGCTTGCAAGAGGTTCAGGGTTCAGGGTTTAGGGTTCAGGGTTTAGAGGTTTCTTGATGGTTTTAGGGTTCTAGTGTTCAGAGGTTTAGGGTTCAGAGGTTTGGGGTTCAGAGGTTTCTGGTTCAGAGGTAGAGGGTTTAGAGGTTCAGAGGTTTAGGTTTTCTGAGCTCTTGAAAGCCCTTTATGCTGCGCTCCTCGGCTCGACTCTACCCGCCGTAGTAGTGTAGTAGTATAGTACTATAGTAGTGGAGTAGTATAATATAGTACTATAGTAGTGGAGTAGTAAAGTAGTAGAGTAGTAGAGTAGTTAGTAGAGGAGTAAAGTAGCAGAGTACTAGAGGAAGCAGAGGAGCAGAGGAAGAGAGTGTTGTGGAGCAGCAGAGTAGAGTAGGAGAGGAGAGCAGTAGAGTAATCGAGTAGTAGAGTACTAGACTAGTCGAGTAGTAGTAGCATAGAGTAGCAAGCGAAAGAGATTCCTAAAATGTCCTAGAGTCCTAGAGCCAGAGCGCACGCTGGAAGGCCCCCGCCAGCCTCCTTCAGAAAGCAATAGAGGCGCGGCCGTGTCATCGCAGCGTTTCAGGGCTGCGGGGTGGGCTTTTGGGGACTCAGCCATGTTGTAGGAGCCGTGGGCTCCCAACATCCCTCCACCCTAAAGGCCCCGCTCGGTCCTGAAGCCTAGTACGAAACCCCAGCCTAAAAAACTCAACCCTAAACCCCAGACCCCGAAGCCCCTAAGCCCTGAACCGCACACAGGCGCTTTCCGACCCAGACCTTGCGACCCGCCAGTTGGCCGCAGTTCTGCTGCTGTCAGCTTCGGGCCTGTCCAAGAGCCTGTCAAAACCCGCAAAACCCGAAAGCTCCTCAACTCCCTGGTTTGGCGTTCAGAGTTTGGGTCCTTGATCCCTAAGTGACGAAGTGAAGAAGATTCTAAACCAACCCTCAACTGTCAACTCTCAACCCTCAACCCTACTTCCTAAGGCTTAAGTAGACTCAGGCGGGGCGGCTGTCGAAGCCGTGGGTGCCATGGGGGAGCACGCCGCGGCGTCCAACGACGCGGCGAGGGGAATCGGGAGGGAGGTGTTGCAACGTTTAGGTTAGGGTTTAGGGTTTAGGGTTTAGGGTTTAGGGTTTAGGGTTTAGGGTTTATTGTTTAGGGTTTAGGGTTTAGGGCTTAGGGTTTAGGGTTTCAGGAGTTGCGGGCTAGATGGTGGTTGCAGTTGAGTGTTAGGGGTTATACAGGGTCAGGGTCCAGCGGGGGGCGGGTTTGAGTTTAGGGCCTGGAGTTTATAGGTCGAGGACTTGCAAGGTCTCAACTCTTGCGAAGTTCAAGGTTCACAGGGCCCTGGGCTTAGGATCCCGAATTGGCTTGGGGAGCCTCGGGAAGTCCGCTTCAAGGGTTTAGGCTTTAGGGGTATTCGGGTTTAGGGTTTGGGGTCTAGGGTATTCGGGTGCCTGGTCTGTGGCGGGCTTTCGTGATGGTAGTGCGTCGGGTCTGTGGCTTCACGTCACGTGCAGGGTTTGTGGTTGTAGTATTACGTTGTGGAGCCTGGATTTCTTGGAATTTCGGCCGACCCTATCAGATCTTCAAAGCCCAACCCAGAAACCCCCAAGCCCCCAAACCCAAAACTCACCAACCTTACAAAACCTTCAGCTCTAACCCCCAAAGCCCCCCAAAGCCTCTGAAACCCTAAACCCTAAACCCTAAACCCTAAGCCCTAAACCCTAAACCCTAAACCCTAAACCCTAAACCCCAAACCCTAAACCCTAAACCCTAAACCCCAAACCCACCGCCCTCCTCGGCGAGATCGTGAAGCTCATGGAGCTGCTGAAGTCTCCGGAGGCTGCCCGCCGCGCCGTGCAGGGACCCAGAGCGAGCTGTTCGGGGTTTAGGGTTTAGGGTTTAGGGCCAAGGGCTTCTAGGGATCAGGGATACCAGGGGCGTTTAAGGCTTTTACTGGGGCTTAAAGGGCTGGGGGGCTTTTGCGAGTTTAGTTGGGGTTTCTAGGGCTTCTGATATTGGGTTGATGTTTAGGGTTTCCGGCATTTAGGGTTTTAAGGCTTAGGATTCAGGTGTCGGAGGTGCGGGGGTTCAGAGGGTTTCTAGGCTTTAAGGTTTGGGGTTTAAAGGCTTAGGGTTTCAAGGCCGGGTTTAGGTGTTTCAAGGCCGGGGAGGGCCTAGGGTGGTCTAGGCCCAGCCGCATGTTGTTCCCTGGCTCTCCAGGCCATAAAGCCTAACTCCCACCACCGTTCCCAGGCGAGTGCGAGTGCCCTGGCGGCCATGGGCGCTCAGGTGGCTCGGTGTTGCCCCTAAACCCTAAACCCTAAACCCTAAACCCTAAACCCTAAACCCTAAACCCTAAACCCTAAACCCTAAACCCTAAACCCTAAACCCTAAACCCTAAACCCTAAACCCTATAATTCCTAAACCCTAAACCCCTAAACCCTAAACCCTAAACCCTAAACCCTCAACCCGAAACCCGAAACTCTAAACCCCGTGCGTTTAGCGGTCTGGGTCCTTGTGTCAACAGTGCGGTATCCTTCCAGGACCCCAACAGCCGACCCCATGAGTCTGCTCTGTCCAAAGCCTGGCTCCCCTAAAACCACATCCCTAGACCCTCAACCCTGAACCCCTAAACAACGCCCCCAAAAAACACAAATTATTTTGCTTCGATCATGCCCACCCTCTCTTGATAGAGATACTCTGGGGTTGGGCACTCCGGACACTCTGGGGCTGGGCACGGGACACTCTGGGGCACTCCGGAGACTTTGGGAGGCACTCCAGGGAACTCCACTCGGGTTGAGACTCTGGGGGCACTCCAGGAACACTGGGGTTGGGCACTCTGCTGGGCAATCTGGGGCAATCTGGGACACTCTGACGGGGTTGGGGACTCCGGGGTTGGGACTCCACGTTGGCTGCGCACTCCTGGGGTTGGGCACTCCAGGGAGACTCTGGGGTTGGACTCCAGGGGCACTCCAGAAAAACCGTGGAGCTGGGGGGTTGGGCACTCTAGAGTTGGGCACTCCAGGGACACTTTGGGGTTGGGCACTGCAGGGATGAGCGAGGAGTAGACCGGGCGAGGAGAAGAGTTCTGGGCGAGGAGAAGAGTTGAGTGTAAAATCTAACAACCCCACCGAGGGTGGGGAATAATCCCTATCTTACCTTATAAGGAAGATTTTTTTGTCTTTTTTGGGGGTTCTTAAGCAATTCAACCCTAGAAGCCATAAAGCCTGCAAACCCGAATTCCAAACACTCGAGGTTTAGTCTCTCATGAAAACATGGAGGCCCTGCCTTCGGCGGACCTGGTCGTGACCCTGACCCAGGATCCCGAGGACGTTTTTTGGGGTTCACCTTGGGGGGTTGAGAGGGGGATTACGATTGTCTGAAGATAGGGTTGAGGGTTTGAGGTCTGAGGATGTGTCTAGTGTGACTTTTGAGGGGCGAAGGCAGTTGAAGACCACATACCCTTGTCGGGGTTTATTTCGGGAAGGCACGCAACAATTGTTAGGGTTTGGCGGTTTGGCTGTTTGGGGTTGTTTTTGGGCTACGATCATAAGGGTGCAGTATTGCTCAGTACGTCTTGCCTTCAGGGCCCAAAGCCCCTAAAACCCCTTAAAAAAGGCGAACCTGCCCCCCAAGAAGCTTAAGGCCCTTAAGGCCCTAGAACCCCTTAAAGCCCCTGCAGCCTGATCCACCCTAAACCCTAAGCTTGAAACCCAAAGCTTTAAACCCTCAACCCTCAACCCTCAACCCTTCAACCCTTCAACCCTTCAACCCTTCAACCCTTCAACCCTTCAACCCTTCAACCCTTCAACCCTTCAACCCTTCAACCCTTCAACCCTTCAAGCCTTCAACCCTTCAACCCTTCAACCCTTCAACCCTTCAACCCTTCAACCCTTCAACCCTTCAACCCTTCAACCCTTCAACCCTTCAACCCTTCAACCCTTCAACCCTTCAACCCTTCAACCCTTCAACCCTTCAACCCTTCAACCCTTCAACCCTTCAACCCTTCAACCCTTCAACCCTTCAACCCTTCAACCCTTCAACCCTTCAACCCTTCAACCCTTCAACCCTTCAACCCTTCAACCCTTCAACCCGCAACCCTCAACCCTCAACCCTAAACCCTAAACCCTAAACCAACAACTCGGAGGAGGTGGCGGCTCCTCCGCTGGCGACCTCTGGCGGCCGGCCACCGCCAGGACTGCTGATGCCGCGCTGTGGGGGACCCTGCAAAGGGTTCAGGGTTCAGGGTTCAGGGTTTAGGGTTTAGGGTAGGGTTTCGGGTTTAGGGTTCAGGATTTAGGGTTTAGAGTTTCAGGCTTTAGGTAAGTCATGTGGGGTTTGGGCTCTACTGTAGGGTGTTTTTCCGTGGTCTGCTTGAGGCTTCAGGGGTTCTTCTGTCAGGTATGCCCAATGTTCAAGAGTTCAAGACGTTTTCGAGCACATGAGCAATGGTTGTGGGCTAGGGTTTGAGTAGAACTCCCAAGCCCGCCAATCTATGAGCTTCGGTGCTAGACGTCAACCCGGCCATGCGGTCGGTTCCCAACTTGGGTTAAACCCTAAACCCTAAACCCTAAACCCTAAACCTTTAAACCGTGGGGTTTGAGAAACGAAGGTGCCGCCATAGCGGCTCTGGGTGCGATGGGCGCCGAGTCGCACACCAAGGCGGTCGCCCAGGCGGGGAAGCCAACGAAGAAAGACTCATCATCATGTGTGTGTGTGTGTGGGCGGGGGGGTAAACCCTAAACCCTAAACCCTAAACCCTAAACCCTAAACCCTAAACCCTAAACCCTAAACCCTAAACCCTAAACCCTAAACCCTAAACCCTAAACCCTAAACCCTAAACTCTCAACCCTAAACCCTAAACCAAAAAAAAGCCTAAACACCCTAAACACCCTAAACCCTAAACCCTTAACCTAGTAAGGGAACCGACCCTGGGGCCAAGGGTTGGCAGCTGGAGGCCACGTTGATCGCAGCTTCTTTCTTCAAAGCAACAGAGACACAGTTCCGGACCATACCCGAGTCTTCTACGGATTCTAGGGTTTTGCGATGCTCAGTCTCGCCAGGGGCTCCTCGACAAGAAATGGCAGGCTGCGGTGGGGTGCATACTGCGGACGCAAGCGGAGGTGTCAGAGTCGCCATGGAAGAACACCGGTGTTAGGTAGCACGTTTCGGCTGATGGAAGGATCTAGGAAAGTAGATCGCCCTTGTGGCTTCTATACAAAAGGACCCTGAGGAAGTGCCGAGCCTGGTGACTTACGAGTTCTTATAGTGGGATACAGGGGAACTACTATGTACTCGTACCTCGTGTCCCCTGTCAGGGTTTCGGGCATAGGGGGTGCCTTCGGCTTCAGGGTTTCGAGTTCAGAGACCTTAGGGTCTGGGGGTTTACTGCTTAAGTGGTTACAGGAGTCCCTGGCGCCAGGTACGGCAGGCCGCGGCCGAAGCTCTGGGCAAGCTGGGCGAGGCAAGCCGACCTCATCCCACCCCCAAGCCCCAAAGCCTGAAAGCCCGAAAAGCCTGAAGGCCCCAAGTTCTGAACCCCTGCAACCCTATCGTAAGGGTCTCGCAGGGGTATCCCCCGAGCAGTGACCTACTCGTCCTGAGGGAGGTTTGACCTTGGGTTGACTTCTTTCGACTTGGACCCCCTACAAGTTTTTCAGCACAGAAACCCAAAGCCTGAACCCCTGAACCCCTGAACCCCTGAACCCCTCAACCGCTCAACCCCTCAACCCTCAGACTTGTAGCACGAGAGACAGCAAGGCCTCGCGGAGCCACGCTTCAAGCCTCCTCGGCTGCCTGACGGACACAGCCTACCCGGCAGGGAGCCCAGGATGTGGGCTGAGGGTTGCAGGTTTCGGATGCCCAGCTAATCAAGGAACATGCCATAGTTCAAAGCAGATCCCTAGTTAAAGGTATACTCTTGAGTTCAGGGGGTAAACCCGAAACCCCAAAACAACCCTCAAAGACCTGGGCGTTCCCCTTCGCGAGGTCCGTGCTGCCGCCTGCGCTGCCTTAGGGACCTGTCGTACGCCGGAGGCTTCTTGGGGTTTGGGAGGTGGGTTGAGGGTTGATGGGGTTTAGTGTTTAGGTGTGTTTCGAGGGCTTTAAGCCCTGAACCCTGAGCCTCAATGACAATGGGGAAAAAGTAGGCGTCTACCGTTGCTTAGGGCTTTGGGGTGTCGTGCCTCAGGGGTTGAGCGTGAAGGGAACTTTCCCCAAAACCCTAAACCCTAAACCCTAAACCCTAAACCCCAAACCCCAAACCCCAAACCCCAAACCCCAAACCCCAAACCCCAAACCCCAAACCTAGGCCCTAAACCCTAAACCCTAACCCCAAACCCCAAACCCTAAACCCTCAACCCTCAACCCCAAACCTGACGGCTTAGGGAGCACCACTACGCCGCCCTGTGCCAGGCCCTTCCTGGCTTGGCCCAGGCCTTCGAGGATGAGTCTGCCGTGGTCAGGCGCGCGAAGTGAGGGTCTAGGGTTGAGGGTTGAGGGTTTAGGGTTCAGGGTTCAGGGTTTAGGGTTTAGGGTTGAGGGTTTAGGGTTTCGGGTTGAGGGTTTAGGGTGTACATGTTGGGTTTGGACCAAACTTCAAAAAGGTCGAAGCAGGGTTGCCCAAGCCTGTACAGTCCGGAACCAGGTTTCTAGGGTCTTCCCGACTCCCGCCCAGATGAGCCTTAAGGCCCTAGACAACTTCAAAAAGGTCGAAGCAGGGTTGCCCAAGCCTGTACAGTCCGGAACCAGGTTTTTAGGGTCTTCCCGACTCCCGCCCAGATGAGCCTTAAGGCCCTAGACAGCTTTCTTCTTTTGGGATTCTGTTGCGCCCATGACAGCTTCAGGAGTGTCTGACACCACTGCCAAACCCCCCTCGCTTGTCTTTGGGGTAGGCGGGCGCAGGTCGAGCGCTCACTGCGAGACAACGTGAGAGAGCCCCAGGCGATTAACTGACCAAGTCGGCTGACCCACTCCTTCTCCGCACAACAACTCGGCGCATGAGGTCCCTGGAAGTCACCTCTGCAAACTAGCGATGGCCCCGAGGCATGGTCTTACGTCTGGTGAGTGCCGGCCTTTGGGCTTAAAGCTGCGACAAAGCTCTACCATGGCTGCGCTTTCAAGTATCTGTGTTCCGGGGCATCCCGAAGGCCTCCGACTGCTCTCCAACACTGACCTGACCAGTCAGATGTCTCGTGATCCATGCCGGAAGACTGAGCCGACCGGCATCGGCATTTGTCTCGGTATGCTTCTCAGGCCTCAGCCTATCAGATCGCCAAACGCGGCCCGCGGGACACGCTAAACATCTGTGCCACCAAGGCCCGGCATGAATGGCCCTTGCCATGCGGCACCTTCAGCATGTTTGTGGTCCAGAACAGCATGGCTAGCAACCCCCTTTTGCGAAACGGACTTGTCACCGTGGGCGTGTGCTGCGGAAGCTATGCAGGCCTTTTCGGGTTTATGGTTGTCCCTTGGTCGATGTGAAGGACCTTCTAACCCAAACGAACAGAAGACAACACGAAGATGACAAGCTCCAAAACCCTAAGAGTTGCGAGTGGGGTAGGTTGGAAGACTCGTGTGCGCTCACAGCCCCCCCCCGTTTTTTTTTGCATCTGAGCCCCCCAAAACCGACTCTTGGATGCATCAGGCGCAATGCTCTCGAAGCAGCTTCCGCCCTTGTGGTTTCTGAGGAGTCCTATTGCCCGGAATCTCAGATCTGGGAGAGCCCAAGTACCACTTGGGTTGGAGGTTCATGGCCTTCAGGGCATTCAAAGCAAACAGTTTCCTGAGTTGAGGGGTGCCCTTCGCATGGGCAGCTTTGCTAAACTACGGGTGCCTGTGCATTTGATGGCTTGAAGCCGAGCCTCATTGTAGTGTAGAGGGCATAGTTCTCGCCCCTCAACCCTAAACCCCGAACCTCAAACCCTAAATGGTATTTAGGCTGTCAGCATTTTGTCGGCTTCTTCATGTTTTTGGAGGGCCAAGGCAAGGCGTTCACCGTTTAGGGTTGTTTTTTTTCCTTCTGCTTCTGCGTACATCCAAATGGACCAAGACAAACAGCCCACAACAACCAAGCAAAGGCTGTGCTGTTCCTTTCACACAGGCCTGGTTCGTCAACTTTTTCTTAGTAGCTGAGTGAGCACACTTTACACTTTTGGGATACTAGAATCCCCTACAGAACTGAATGTGTACGTACACTTCTTTGGGTCTTCTGAACTCAGTGGCTAAGTTTTGTTGTTGTTGAGATTGCCTTTGGGCAGCTCCAGATGCCCCTGGCGCAGAGGGCCTCAGGGCCTTCGGGAGTTCTCCCAACAAAACCCGAGGCCACGAGGTCTTCAAGGCGGTCACCGACATGAACGGGCAGGCGCCTTTCCGCATAAAAGCCTTCAACTTTGGGGGGGTTTCTTCTGGGGCATCTCTCCCGTTTCAGGGCTTGAGGCTTAAAACCTTACAACGTGAGATGCCGCCCAGAAGGAGCCCCCGATAGACAAGGCCCAAGTCGGCTCTCATGAGCCTTTCCGACGCCCCAGTATCCCTGAAGAGGCCCTGAGCTTCGGGCTTCCTCCTAAAAGATGCGATGACCGGGTTCGGGGGGTTATGGGGCAATTGGGTCTGCTGCTCCATAGGCTTCGCGAGGGGCTAAGCCCTTGTTATCAGCCCTAAGCCCTCAAGACAAAGCCCTTACGGCCCCAAACCCTTAAGCCCTTAAACCCTAAACCTCTCCCTGAAACCCTAAACCTCTGCAAGGAGACTCTGAAACCCAGGGCTCCTGTCTGGGCAGGTTCGTGCCGCGGCCGCCACCTCCTTGGCCTTTTTTTGCCCTTTGGGTCTTCGGGGGTAGCCAAGCAGAGTCCCTGATTCTCCGGGTTTAGTCGTAGCCGCAGGTATCCCATGCGGAAAGTCTTGTGTGGTAGTTATCGATTCTCTGACTCTGTGATCCAGACGCCGTTCGAGGGGACGGCATATTCACATGCTCATTGTTACTTATGGGTATCAGCCCAACATAGCCCAACACTGTTCATTATTACCTTTGGTGAGCAAGTATGCAGTGCTGGCATTCGGGCCATTCGCGTTGTCATTGATCCCACTTTCGAAGCCCAAGCTCCAAGCACAGACCCGCTTTTGAGGTCAAGTGCCTCGCGCGGCATCCGCGCTTGGGGCCCAACTACGCAGGAGTCGTGGCTATGCGCCTGGGCGGAAAAGTGGCCGATTGGGGCGTGAGGCTTCGGTTTTAGATGTGTCTAGAATGTAGGGTTCAAAAGCCTTGGGGGTTGCAGTAAGGTTTAAGATGGTAACTTGGCTACTAGGCGGGATTGACTATAGGGAATAGCTTCGACACTCAGCCTCAGATCAATGCGCCCAATATGTTACGTAGGCCCCGAGTGTTTTGACCTTCAACCCAACAAGCTCACGTGGCGCAAAGCCCATGTCGAGAGCCAAGGAAGTTGTTGGATCACGACGCAGATGTCAGGCCGGGCCTGCATTGCATTCAGGGACGAGGGGGAAGTAAAGCAAGCAGCAAAGGTGCCCTTGTAGCACCCCGAACGACTTCCAGCACCGCAGCGGCGTCAGCGGCGTCAGCAGCGTCAGCAGCGTCATCATGATGCACGCGTCATGGGCCAGAAGCCCGACGCTAAGCTCCACGTCCCCTGAAGACAGGGCTCGGAACAGTCTAGGAACCTCAGGTCCTCAGCACCAGGCGCTGAGCCCCTGAAAATCCCACAGAGAAGCCCCTTATAAGTCCCGAAGTCCCTAAGTCCATAAAGGCCCTAAGTCTCTATGACTCTATACTCTCTACACCCTGCCCTATACCCTGAGACCTCTGCCGGACAGGGCGGCGGCCACTGCTGGTTTGGGTGACTTGGGTGATGCGGGCCTGGGCTTCGAGAAAGAGGCGCAGAACTGGTTGCTTGCTTGTTTGGGGGGGGGGGCGGGGATGTGGAGGGTTTTAGGGTTTTTAGGGTTTTAGGGTTTTTAGGGTTCTTAGGGTTTTCAGGGTTTTTAGGGTTTTTAGGGTTTTTAGGGTTTTTAGGGTTTTCAGGGTTTTTAGGGTTTTTAGGGTTTTTAGGGTTTTGCAGGCCTTGCGGCCCCAACACCCCAAGCAGACTTACAAGCCCAGAGGTCCAAGCGATGATGAACGATCCCAGCGAGGCCGTTCGACAGGCGCAACGCAGCTGGGGGGGGCCGGGGGGGCTTTAAGGTTTAGGGTTTAGGGTTTAGGGTGTAGGGTTTAGGGTTTAGGGTTTAGGGTTTAGGGTTTAGGGCTCGGAGTTCATCACCCAACTTCTTTCAAGGGTTAAGCCCAGCATCCTACTTTCCTTGAATCCCTAATACTCTTCCATCCCAAACCTGTTGAAACCCAGGGATGGTCTTCTTTTCTTGCTACACGGAGGCTTCGCAGGAAGCCCCTCGTCCGGGGTTTGGGGTTCAGGATTTGGCCCTAAACCCTAAACCCGAAACCCTAAACCCTAAACCCTAAACCCTAAACCCTAAACCCTAAACCCTAAACCCTAAACCCTAAACCCTAAACCCTAAACCCTAAACCCTAAACCCTCCCTCTCTGTCTCCGTCTCCGTCTCTGTCGGAGTCAAAGTCGAGGCCGCTGCCTCCTCCCTCGCGAAGCGCTGGGCCCAGGGCTGCGAGGGATGTGGAGAGACCCCAAAAATGGGCGGGATGGAGTTTTTGATGGGTTGGTTGTAACAAAACCACTAGTTACAACTATAGCTCCTCTTCGGCCGGGCATTGTTGCAATTTTCTTTGCCTTGGAGACAGCAGATATTCGGCCACAAGAAGCCAGACACACCAGAAGCATCAAGAGCGCATCAATTCTCGGAACTGCCTCTAATGGGATCAGCTGGCCCGGTATGTGGCAGAGAGGACGACCATGGTGCCTGTCTTCTTAGTGGTCTTACTCTCAATATGCAAGTCATAAGCAGCTACAAAACTACCTGCCTAGACAAGATGATTGATACACTGCCAACAAGTACTTCCTCAACATTGCATCGTAATCGCACTAACATTGGGTCAAGGGTTCACGGTTCAGTGTTCAGGGCTTCGGGTTTAGGATTTGTGGTGGTGATGGTGATAGTGATCGGGCCTGGCACAGTTTCCATCTTGCAGCTTTGCATCTTCTTACTTGCAGAAATGCAAGGCGGATTTGCATTACTTTTGATGAGCTACAATGGCTTTAACTCTGCGATGCTCACTCTCTCAAGTGCACGATAAAAAGGAGTGCTACTTAACGGTTTTGTGCTCCGTTTATGTGCTGACCTGATAACTTTATTGCTCATGTGCACATCGCGCATCGGGTGCTTTATTGTATGGTGCTAATTGGTCAGAAGCCAAAAGGACAAGGCCTAAACCCTAAACCCTACACCCCAAGGTGGCCCGACAACGGAACGCCAAACAAACCCGAAACTCTAAACCCTGAAATCCTCAATCCTAAGAAACCCTAACCCTAAACCCTCAACCCTAAACCCTAAACCCTAACCCTAAACCCTAAACCCTAAACCCTAAACCCGAAACCCTAAACCCTAAACCCTAAACCCTAAACCCTAAACCCTAAACCCTAAACCCTAAACCCTAAACCCTAAACCCTAAACCCTAATCCTAAACCCTAAACCCTAAACCCTAAACCCTACGTAAACCCTAAACCCTCAACCCTAAACCCCAAACCTTAAACCCTAAACCCTAAACCCTAAACCCTAAGCCCTACGACTTAAATCTTAACGAACGGAGCCCATAAGACTGAGCCCAACCACGCCGAGTTTGGGCTTGCGTTCGCCGCTGGCGCCCATCAAGCCGCCTCCGGCCCAGCCACAAGCGAGCTCGTCTTTGGGTTTTTTTGGAGCTTTCGCGATTTTTTAAGTGGTTTTGTCGTTGTTTGTAGGGTGTTTAGGGTTTCTGGGTTTTCTAGGTTTTTTTGGGTTTTTGGGGTTTTTGGGCTTTTATCGTCTTAGGGTTTTGGGATAGTTTGTTTGAGGCTTACGTCTTTTCAGGGCGTCGGGCTTGATTTTTTTGTTGGGTTGTTTGGAGTTTTCTTTTGCGACTGGAGTGGGATTCAGGGCGCGGCATTTTGTAGCATTGCTGAACAGCCCTCCTGGACCCCAAACCCTAAACCCTCAACCCAAACCCTAAACCCCTAAGCCCCAAACGCTAAACCCTAAACCCCAAACCCCGAAACCCCAAACCCGAAACCCCCCGCAAGCCGACACCCCCGCAAAAAAGAAACCCTAAACCCTAAAAACCCTAAACCCTAAGCCCTAAACCCTAAGCCCTAAGCCCTAAGCCCAAGCCCTAAGCCTTAAGCCCTAAGCCCTAAACCCTAAACACTCCTGCCCTCCTTCCCCCAGGTTGGCCGCCCGTGGTGCCGGGGCGATCAAGGCGGCCATGGCCCCGCTCCCGGACAACAAGGCCCGGCACATGCCTGGTTTAGGTTTTAGGGTTTATATGGGTTTATAAAGGGTTTAGGGTTTAGGGTTTAGGGTTTGGGGTTTGGGGTTTGGGGTTTGGGGTTGAGGGCTGAGGGTTTGGGGTTTAGGGTTTGTAGTTGGGGGTTTTATGGGTTTAGGGTTGAGGGCCCCCTCAGTACGAGACCTTCAAGTATACAAGGGGGCTCGTACCATGAATTCAGCAACCGTTTTCAAGTGCGGGGCATTGGGCGTGCTGCGGATGTGCTTGGGCTGCGGGTCATGTACACCTTGGGCCCAAGACCATGGTGAAGCTTTGGGGTTTAAGCTTTAAAGGGTTAGGGGGGTGCGGGGGTGTGAGGTTTGGGGGCTTAGGGTTCAGCGGTTGGGAGGCTTGAGGGTTTTGAGCCCCAAGCCCTCAACTCGAGATGAAGATCCTCAACGAGTCTCGGGGTTTTTACATAATCCAACAGGCCCTGTCCATCCTTAAGACCGAAAGCCCCAAAACGTTTTCCTCTAGAGCCAGAGGCCCCAGAACTCCAAGCACGATTACAGGGATTTTGTCGGTGTTTTTTCGGGCTTAGGGTGTAGGGTGTGTTTGAGTCCACGAGCTCCCACTCTCCAAGCCACTCAACCCTGAACCCTAAACCCCTAACCCCTGGCCCCTAAACCCTAAACCCTAAACCCTAAACCCTAAACCCTAAGCCGTGAACCCCTAAGCAACTCAACCACACCAGGATCCAGTGGAGGGACTGGGCGAGTACTACAAGAGCATCATGCTCAAGAAGCCGCGGACTTGGGACGGCGGCGTGGTTTTCAGCCGTTTGGGGGCGCAGGGTGTGTTTTTTGGGTTTGTGGGGGTGCTAGGGTATCAGGTTTCTGGTTTTGGTTGCGTTTGGATCTAGCGTGAAGGCGGTTGACAGTGGACTGTACTGGACAACCCTTGCCAAGCAGCTCCCAGGCCCTCGACCTTATCAGCCTCATGCGCGCCCTGCTTGGACGTTGTAACCCCTGAACCCTAAACTCTAAACCCCTAAACCCCTAAACCCCTAAACCCCTAAACCCCTAAACCCCTAAACCCCTAAACCCCTAAACCCCTAAACCCCTAAACCGCTAAACCCCTAAACCCCTAAACCCCTAAACCCCTAAACCCCTAAACCCCTAAACCCCTAAACCCCTAAACCCCTAAACCCCTAAACCCCTAAACCCCTAAACCCCTAAACCCCTAAACCCCTAAACCCCTAAACCCTTGTTTCAGGTCGGAGCTCGTGAAATCGGGCAAGTGGATCGACGACGACATCTTCTGAAGTATGTGAGCAGCACTTTCCAGCGCCACCCGTGTGTGAAAGTCCGCAGATGCTGCAGAAGCCTGTTTACATTCTGGGTTCACGTACAGAGATTGCAAAAACGGCTTAGATTCGACATGCACGCTGAGCAGTGATTTCCATAGCGAGGCCCGTGTAGCTGGAAAGTGGCTGGTCAATCCCGCCGGAGTCTTCCTACACAGCCGTTCCTCGTCGCAGTCTAGATGCGGCAAAGAGACCCTTGGAGGGAGCTCGCCGACGTTGAGCCGTTCAGCTTTTTCGGACTTAGCGCGTCCCGAAACCCCCCAAAAAGTCCTAAAGTTCTGATGCCCTATGCCGCGCTCCCCTCACAAGCTTTCTGAGAACCCTGACCCCCAAGCAGATTTCCCAACAGGGATTTTCGGGCTCAGGGTTTGGAAGGGCTTTCCGTCTCCTTGTCTAGCCCCGGCTTCCTTCAACCCCAAGCCCTAAACTCGAAACCTCAACAAAGCCTGAACTCTCAACCCTCAACCCTGAACCCTAAAAGCCCTCAAACCTAAACTCTCAACCGTAAACTCGAGACCCTAGACCCCAAACTCTAAACCTTCAACCCTGAGCCCGAAACCCCTGGCGGCAGCTTCCCTCGAGGGTCCTCCGCAAGAGGCCCCCTTTTGCGGGGTCACCTTCCTCGCCGGTTCTTGCGGCCGGAAGAAAGGTTTAGGGTTTAGGGTTTAGGGTTTCAGGTTCAGGGGGCTGAGGGGTTCAGGGGTTTGGGTCTTCAGGGGTTCGCCTTGTGTAGGGTTTCAGAGTTTCGGGGTTCCAGGCTTTTGGCCTACACCCTAAACCCTAAACCCGAAGACTGCGTTTAGGTACCTAGCCCCGCTTGCATCGAGACCTGGGACAGCCGGTGGCGTCTAAGTGCAAATGGGCTGAGTGTCAGGGTTTAGGGTTTCGGGTTTCGGGTTTCGGGTTTAGGGTTTAGGGTTTGGGGTTCCGGGTTTAGGGTTTAGGGCTTAGGGTTGAGGGCTGAGGGTTGAGGGTTGAGAGTTTAGGAGAACCAGTGGTGAGCCCATGGCATCAAGACAGGGTGTGAAGGAGATTACGCAAAAGACAACCCTAAACCTTAAACCCTAAACCCCGAATCCAACACCCAAAACGTAAGCCCTCAACCCTAAACCTTAAACCCTAAACTCTGACTCGGAATAGAACCGACCCTCATTGGACTGCTTTTTGGTGCCCTAGTCATAGAAATCTTTTGAAACGAGACCCAACAAGAGCGGTCTGAACCCTAAATAAACCCTGAGCCCTAACCCCTAACACCCGCACCTGCGGGCGGGCTATGTGCCATGGAGGAGGATGCGCAGGGCGGGGAAGGTGCGGATGAGGTGTTGGAATTTAGGGTTTCGGGGTATTGGGGTTTAGGGTTTCACGCATTTGGGTCCCTTACCCACCTTTCACAAGTTCTTGGGAGTTGGGAGTCTGCGCATAGGCGCAAGACCCTACATCTGCCAACAAGGGCACCCCCTCCCCTTCAGCTTGAAACGGAGCAATCGCGAGAACAAGCGGCACTGTGATAAATGGGTTTAGGGCGTATCGGCGAATCGATCATCATCATCGTCATCGTCGTCGTCAGCATCATAGTCACCTCTATCTTTGCCATTTGTCGTGGCGACGCCCGTGACCTCATCTCAGACTCTGCTCCTACTCCACATGTTTCCTAGCATTTAAACAAGGAGCAGTATACGGCACCACAAAGAAGAGTGCGAAGCACAAATGAGCCGGCACCACCCCGCGTGGCTGCGAAGAATGAAAGCACTGCGCCCTGAAAGCCTGCAACCCTACAACCCCGTAAACCCTAACCCCTAAACCCCTAAATCCCAAAGCCCCCAATCCCTAAGCCCTTAAAGCCCGAAAGGCCTGGAGCGGCTGCAGCGCCGCCTGGAGGAATCCGGGGTCCGCCGGCGCCAGCTCAACTAGGGGATCGTTTAGGGTTTAGGGTTTAGGGTTTAGGGTTTAGGGTTTAGGGTTTAGGGTTTAGGGTTTGCCGGGAGCAGGGAAGTAGGGTTGCGAGCTCGGGATGAAGGGGGTTGAGGCTCGAGGGTTTTGAGGTTTCAGCGGCCTTTTTGTTTTTGGGGAGGGTCTGTATCTTGAAAACTCGCGGGATTGGAAAAGAATCCAGTCAGCCGATCACCTGTTCCAAAGGCACTCGTCAGGGTTTGGAAGTCGCACTCAGTCGGTCGCAGTCGGTCTCCCAGAACACTAGGAACCCAGCGAGCCCCAACACCCCTTCATGAAGGAACGCGCCTGCCTTAAACTCTTCTTCTCTGTATGACGAAAAGAGGTTTCATCCCCTCCGGAGTACGCACGAATATATCAAAACTGGGATTATTCAACATGAGGGGGGCAGGGGGGGTTTCTATTCGGGTCGGGGGGCAGGGCTTGTTCTTTAGTTATGGGGTCTTTGGGGCTCCCTGGGAGCACGCCAAAGAGCTTCGGCCAAAAGCCTCGCCCGGAGCATGGCAGGTCCACTCGGATTTCGTGACTCAAACTTTTCTCGAGGCTGGGGAGAGGGTGTGGGATGTTCGGGGGTTTGGAGAGTGTGGGGTTTGGGGCTTGGAGGGTTAGGGTTTGGGAATGTCTGCAGGTTTGGAAACATTCGGGGTTCCGGGTTCGCATGTACCCGAAGTGCAGATTCGCGGCTGGCTTGTCTACAGACGAGGGAGAACTCAACCCCTCAACCCCTCAACCCCTCAACCCCTCAACGCCTGAACCCCTGAACCCCTGAACCCTGAACCCGTTTACAGGGTCGTAACACTGTTTGTTGCGGGCTTCTGGGAGGCCTCGGAGCTTGGCGATGCGACATCACTGCAGCCCTGACTCGCTTTGCCCGGGTTTGCCTCAAGAAGCTGCTTGCCAAAGTGGGGCGGGCTTAAGGGTTTGGGCTTTAGGCATCAGGGTTCCAGGGGGAGTGTTGGGGGTTTAGGGCTTTTGGTGGCTCGGGGTTGTAGGTCTCAGGGCGCTGGTTTCGGGCTTAAGGCTTGAGATGAAACTTGGAGCAGCCTTTGGTTTTTGCAGACGGTCCTGTACCCTGACCCCTGGAATCTGAAGCGGCTTGTTCAACTGCTGGGGCTTTGGGGTTCACTGGTTGACTTGCGTGCTTTGTCTCGGAAACCCCCCGAGTTTCATACTCATCTTCTTCAGCTCACGAAACACGCGTGGGAACAGCAGGCACCAAACACAGAGTAGACTGCGTACTTGCAGGCCTGCATAGGCAGCACTTCGCTGGGGGCCAGTCGATTTTTTGCTCTGGGCTGAGCCCCGTGGACCTACGAGTCTCAGATGTCATGCTTCCCGCATTGTTTCTGAAAGCCCCTAAAAGGAGATGTCGTTGCCGAAGGTCAAGACCTTTAAAGCCCCAATCCCGACACCCTAAACCCACACCCCAAGCCCCCAAACACACGCAGGCCCTTCTGAAATTTTAACCCTCAGATCGGTTCCATAAGTCCTGCAAGCCGCGTCCCAGAAATATTCCCAAGTCCTCCTCGCGCGGGGGTAGGTCGGGGCGCGTTTTTGGGACCCACCCCGTTGAGAAGAATATAAGGAAGTCCAACAAATGCTCCCAGTTGTTGAAGACATGAACACAAGAGCATTTTGCGGCAGCTGAGGAAACGGAGAGTTCCGAAGTTTAAATCAATTTCGTAAGAAGTCTCCGGTTGACTCAAAGCTCCTTGGTCCATATCTTCAATTTTCTTCAACCTCCTTGGCCAAAACGCCTCAAAAGGCCCTGTTACCTGTTTGTCCGTCGGTCTGTCTCAAATCTAGCTGGTGACTGAACCCAAACCTTGTTTGAGTTCAAGCATGTTTATCCACCAAGCTTGTCAAAACCAAGCTTGCTCACAAAACAGGCCTTGTTTTGCAGGGACACGGGTTCAAGTCTGGGTGGATTGTCGGGTCTCCGCGAGTTTTGTTGGCGGCAGGCTCAAGCTTAGGGGCAGGTTTAGGAGCATCCGAATATGCCCGGTTTCAAATCGGGTTTGGGTTGGGCGGGTTTGGGGTTCTGTTTGAAGAGGCCAATACTGGTCAAAAAACAGACAGAAATTGAAGACCGCCATACTACTATGTTTTGGCCTTGGATTGGGGTTCGTGAATGCACAAGATGGTCAAAACTCATTTCCAAGGCTCCAAACTTGCATCTTGCGCAAATCCCTCTGCTTGGCACCCAAAATGTGGGTCGCGAGGGGAAGTTCACATAAAATTATTTGTCCAACAAATTTTGCAAGCAAATCGGTTTCCAAATGGGCCTTTTCATTGGGGTCCGGAGTGGAAGATTGCACATCGAGTTTGGGAATCCGGCAGAAGTGTCAACCATGCAAAGCAAAGTTGAAGGCATTGGGGTTGGGTCCTGAGGGGGCTTTGGGGGGATCTGCCCGCTGAATTGACCGCCAGCTGCGCTGCGGAACCCTAACCCTAAGCCCGAAGCCGGAAGCCCGAAGCCCTAAGCCCTAAACCCTAAGCCCTAAGCCCCTAAACCCTAAACCCCCATCTTACGACAAAGCCCAAATAGCCTGAGCATGTCAGGAAGGAGCGCCTCGATCGTCTCCCCCTAGAGGAGATCTGCAAGCTGACGCTTAGGGTTTAGGGCTTGGGGTTCAGGCTTAGGGGGCTTTAGGGGCATGCCACCTTAGAAGGTCCAAAGCCTGAGTTCCGAAAGAATTTTTCCGGTTTGGAGTTTAGGAGCCTCGAGGCCTGGTGCCTCATAGTTTCACCAGCCCTCACCCTATAAACCTTAAACCTGTTCAGGGCTACGCCTCCTGGTTCCCTATGTTTCCCTTTTGACACGTCGCCGCCTCTTTTCTTCCTAGGTTACATGTACCTTCCACGAGACGAAGCATGGGGATGTAGATTTTGTGAGAAATTCGTTTCGGCAGTGGCAGCAGAGGCTAAGACATGCTAAGACGACACAAGAAGCATTTGTACGGGGCTGGCAAAGCTATTTGGCGACAGTCCTTTGTTTCTCTTTTTGA